AAATGAGCCATTTGGCGGTCAAAAATGATCATTAGACATATGCACATCAAATTATCAAATATTTTATAGAGATTTTAACAATAAGTATACATTTTGTTAACATTCCTATGGGTTCCGTACCAATGCTTATGCGTTAGACAGCGACGCGGCACTTACGCGCTTTATATTTTGTCCCTATGCAGTTAAAACAGTACGATTGCTTTGAAAAAAGTTCAGATCTTCCACAATATGTCAAAATAAAGAAAAATTTTTTTTTCAAAAAAAAAAAACAAAAAAAAAATTTAAAAAAAAATTTTTTTTTAAAAAAATTTTTTTTTCAAAAAAAAGTAATTTTTTGGCCAATTTATAGTTTCTCAAAAATCTTATTTTTTCAAAGTAATTTTTTTTTCAAAAATGTTAATCGTTTTTAAAAAAATAATAATTTTTGGTACGGGAAGTTCCAGCAATTTGCCTTAAGGCACGATGCCTTAATTGCCTTAAGACAGAATTCCACTTACAGCTAGTTTTGTCTTACGATCAGCTAGTAGTAAAATAAGACAACAAACTTATGCAAGAATAGGCCCTAGGAATAGAATTATTAATTGACTCAACAGTAAGGCACATTTCATTTTCACACACACATTCAAGCAATTATAGTCCACGATTTAATGACTTATGCGTCATTTCGTTGTTTACAAATATGATTTTGTGCAATGAAAACATCTAACCAATTAATGCAGCAACATTTTCACTTCAGCTTGATCTCCATTTTGCAGATAAAATGAAATATGCCGTTCATAACTGATTCTCTCAAATCACCTATTCGTCATTCCGTAGTGTAAAAATATGATTTTGTGCAATAAAAGCATTTTTAAAAATTTTCGCTTTGATTTAATTTTCCCTATGTAAATAAAATGAAATATATCATTTATAACTGAACGATTTTTTTTTAAGAATCACCTATGCGTCAATCCCCTGTTTAAAAATATGTTGTTCAATAAAGGCATCTAACTAATTAAAACAACACGATTTTCACTTTGGTTTGGTTTTCATTTTCCAGATAAAATGAGATATGATCTTTATAACTAAGGTGACCGGTTTGTACGGGACACAGTACCGGATTTGCTTCTTGTGTCCCGGGTTCTAAAAGCAATATTTGTCCCGGGTCTCCGGAAAATACAAGTTTCAATTGAACCTTCGCAATTACTTGATGATGAAATTACAATTACCCATCAAATATCTGAAAATGATATATATTTTGTTACAATTGTACCAATGTATATCAAAATTTTTGATTGTCTTAAAACAGCTTACGTTAAAAATAAGAATGTTGATTCATTCATGTTACGAATAAGAAAATTGCCGATTACAAAATTCCAAAGGCGAGTTAAAATAGTCTTTCACAATAATAATTTCAATTTCAACTTCACGAAAATTAGCAGAAATTATGAAAACGACTACCTGGCACAAGTAGTACGAGTGAAAAAAATATATAGATCCAAAATTATAAGATTTTACATAACACACAATGGAATGAAAGATATTTCTAATAATCAGTACTTCTTAAAACGGATCATTTTAAAAAGACTGTTTTTATTGTATTTTTTTTATTATTATTATTTGAACAGCGATCAGAACTTATGGGTTCTATGAGCTGTTGTGATTAATATCTTACAAACTACGTTTGTTTTATTACAGGTGGCAACCCAAACAGTTGTCACATCTCTGTATGATAAATTTTTATTACAATCTCTGTAATAGGGCAAGTATGGTGCAACAATGGCGGGTGAGGGCTATTTTCACTTGGAACCATATTGCTATTTATATTTCCAAGTGAAAATCGAAGTGAGTATCGAACCCGGGACCTCTGAAACAAGTCCCGTCGCTCTTAACCGCTTACCTACGGGCGAGCCCTATTGTTTTCTTAAATAGTATTTGTTATTTTAACATCATATTTGAGTTATTTAGCACGAGGAAACACTTCCAAAAAATTATGTAAACTTATTATAACAGTTTTTTCTCAAAGATTCTACTTTATTGATTTGAATTATTTTTAATTATATACCATGCAGATGATAAAGCGACTTAAATTAGTAATTTTAAGGTTAACCAGAAACACTGATGTTATCTATATAGAACTTTAATTTCGTGAATTTTTTAAATTGTTAGATAAATCGCGAGACAGGTTTTCAAATATTTTGATTGAAGCCAAGTGGTAGAGGTTGGCCGCCCCGAAGACTTTTTTACCTTTGTTTTTAATTTTTGTTACTCAATTTTTTTATGACGCGTATATAAAAACACATATAACCCTAAATTTTCAACCTCCTACCATAAAACCCTATTCGTTAAGAATTATTTTCAAGAAATTATAGTAATTTATCTTTTTTATAAACCTATAAACCTAGGAAATTGCTAGGTAAGTCTTCGGACAGGTTTTCGGATATTTTGATTTAAGCCAACTGATAGGGGTTGGCTCGACGACTAAGATTTTTTTTAATAATAAATGTCAATTATTATTTTTAATTTTTTTATTATACGTATATAAAAAACACAACCCTAAATTTTTAACCTCCTACCACAAACCCCTAATTTGTAAAATATTTTATAGTAATTATATCTTTTTTAATTAATTGGTAATTGGTAGACAAGCAGACTGGTTGGCAGGTAAAATGGCAAACAGGTAAACAGGAAAAGAAAAAAATAGGTAAACAGGTAAATAGATACATACGTTGACAGATGAACAATTAGGCAGGTAAATTGGTAGATAGGTAAACTAGTGGACAGGCAAATTCGAGGATATATAAAATGGTAGACAGGACAACTGGTAGATAGACGAATATGTGGACAGATAAACAGGTTGATTGGTAGACATGTAGAACAGGTTGATAGATAGATTGGTAGGTAGGTAAAATGGTGAATTAATAAATATGTTGATATGTAAATTGACGAACAGGTAAATTTTTGAACACGTAAATTGGTGGATTGCTAAATTGGTAGACAGATAACGAGGTATACAGATGATCATATAGACACGCAGACTGGAAGACAAAAAAACTGGTAGACTAGATGTAACAAATATGCATTTTTGTTCAAATTTTTAATTGAAAGTAAAACACGGCGAATGGGTACAGATATGAACAGATAGAATATTTATATTTTCGTATTGAGTTTTACATGTACAATAACCTGAGAATCTTTCTATTGAAATAAAATAATATATACTACACTGCCAAAGAAATAGCTATGATAGTTTTATAATATTTTAGACATTATTAGTCATATAAGAATTATAATATTAAGTAGCTCCTGAAAGTAGAAGAAGTTTTTTTTAATTATTTCAATTTGATATTTGTAAATATGTAAAATGCAAGCGGCATAATTTTAATTATATATATATATATATATATATATATATATATATATATATATATATATATTAGGATGATCCTTAATATTGATATTTACGAATTTCTTATCTTTTAGGGGCTCAAATGCTTCCAAATTGATCAAAAAAATTCTCTGAAAATTTATTTCTTAATATTAACTTTAAGACAGAGCCGTTTCGGAGAAGTACAAGAACGAACATTTGTGACACGGAAATTTTATATATGAGATATATGTATATGTTAATGAAATAAAAAACTTCTATAATGCTTTAAAACCTGAAGCGTTTTTCAAAAAAGCTAAAATTAAAATAGATTATATCAGATATATAAACTTTAGGTATGATTTTTGTAAACTATATACATTATTGTTCGTTTACGCATATTTTATTCTGGTTTTGTGAATCAGAGTCTAGAATTTTAGAAGTTATTATTTTGGCGCGCCATTTTAATTTGCTTCTTACTTGTAACCGGATATGACTTGCATCAAACATCTTTTTTGTCCTTTAAAAAAAGAATTCTGAACGTTTTACAAGTATGTATTTTGTTAATTTATTTCCTACAGTAGAAGTAGCAGAAACAAAGTGAAACTTTGTGCACAAAATTTAACTTTTATATTAAATCCTCTGCCGGGAAAAAAATATTTTTCGAACGCTGTATATATATATATATATATATATATATATATATATATATATATATTAAATTGTAAACAAAGAATTCAATCACTTGGTAGTTTATTTTTAGTCTTGTTGCCTGATATATATTTCGAATGCAAGTGCTGTGTATTGTAGTTCACGATATAACGCCAATAAAGCAAACACAATTTTTATCTTAATGCACGATTTAGATGTCTATAAAAATAACTTCATTCTGTTCGCTAGTTTTTAACTATTAATGATTGCATCTTCTTGCGATACTAGATACTATTTATTTTGAAACAATTATTTCGATTTTTTTATTACGTTCAATCATAGATATTCTTATCAAACTATAAGGCGCTATATGATTAGAAATACCTGAACACCACAGCATTTTTATTAATATGCTTTTGCCAATTCTATAAATGCATCAGCATAGACCTACATATCCCTAAATACATATCTATCCTTGGCCTAATATCATATGTATCAGTATAATTTTAACGATAATGAAATATTTGAGAGTAGAACAAATTCGAGTGGAATTAGCGTTAATGTTGATCAATTTCATTTTCTTACACTTATGTATTATTTACTAATGTAGGATTGACTTAATTTGATTGACAATTGATAAACAAACTGTTGACCGTGTAATGGTGAACCCGATACGGTTTTAGAATTGTTGCATCCGCAAATGCAATAGTAACGATTTACATTTCGCGAATATACTCACTTCTGAGCTTAGGCACTAATATTTAGTTATCTTTAGTAATATTCATCTCGTATGGCGTTCCGTCAATGACATAGAAATTGTTATAGCAAACAAGATGATAACAAAATAAAATTTCGGAATCGGGTTTAGCAAATCAGTAGAGCATCGTGCTGTGGAGGGCTAGTGATATTTTTAGTTTGTTATTTGGCAACTGATCCATAGATACACTCGACTAACGACGTGTTTGAACCGGGTCGCGTCTCAGTCGTGTGCGTAACTGTGCACTGCCGAGGCAGATATCTATCGGACGCTAGTGTACGATGTGGTGCTCAACATGATTTGAATACGGATAACTGATCATCTTATGGATCTTATGGATATCTCATACATGAACATATATCAATGATAATGGCAACTAATTCATCGGAACCTACGGTTCGACGGAATCGTTATTCACGGTCGTCTACGACCAGTGTGACGCAACTGTTATCTGAAAGTTGTTCGAGCCTTCTTCATCGGTTGACACGGCGTGGACCATCGGAAAAGCCCACCTACCGCGTGCGGCCAAGCAACAGGCCCGAAGAAAAACCGATAGATACTGTGAAAGTTTCTAGTAAAATATCAACCGCCGTTCCTGTGACAATTACCTCTGCCTTGGGAAGTACCAGAAGCCGGCTTGAAAGCAAATATTCAGCAGTGTTAGACCGTGTAAAACGTCGGGAAGTTATAGATCATGATAAGACATTAGAACCCAGTCCATTACGTACCCACGGCGCAAAAAAAAGTGCATCGAGTGTAATTTTAGGTGAAAAGGCTTATCCCTATGTGAGTGCATTAGAACAAAGTGGTGCTTATATGGATCGCGATGATATATATCGTTCGCGACATCGAAGTAATGGTAAACATACGCACAGGTACCATCAACCTGTGGAAGACGACGAAGCGACACCTACCAATGAAATGACGGAGCGAGAAGCCAAACGCAAGGAAATTCAAAGTCTGATTATGAAGTACGCTCAACTAGACGATCGTCCGGCAGAGCGCCTATATCCTTCTGTAAACGGCGAAATCTCCCGCCATCAAACACAATCCCAAACACAGAACCAAGTTGTGCACAAGTACAGGAAGCAAAAAACATCATCAGTGTTATCACCAACTGTCGTAAGTCATCTTCTTCCCAATCTCGATGCGCGACTTTACCTAGTGATTGATCTAGTGCCTCCACTAACCAGTGTGTGGCTTTTGCTGAATTTCATATCGAAACTAAACAAAAGCATTCATTGAATGCATTGCGGACCTATTCAATCAATATCATTATACATAACCAGTGCATATTATTTATGATGTGATCAAAGCGTCACCCGCTTTGGAGAAAAGACGTGACGGTAAGATCAAATTTAACCCATCAATTTCTATTACGTTTTGCATGCAATGTATATTCAAAGTGCAGGATTACCGTCTTTTCGAAAACTTAAAACATTAGCAAATCAGAATAAAATACTTTTCGCGTATTCTTTGTCAGAGTTCTATATTATTTTTGGTGTTCGTTTCAAGTACGTTTATTTTAAGCATGCATACAATCATCATATTACTACATGCTTGAGACAAGAACGCACACGTGTATATATAAAACTATGTCACAAATTGTGGAGTAGATGCGTAAAAATGTTGAATAAACACTCTATATTCGGGTTGATCAGACAATTGGGAATATTTTATACATCATCCTCCGTGCGTGGAGAAATCTGACACTGCAAACACATATTAATAACTAATAATAATCCTTTCCTAATTTTTCGTTTTTCTAATCGCATGTTCCTCTTGAGTGAAGTGCATCATATATTATTAAGTTATTCTATTTGCACTACAAATAAGTTGAGGTAATCTTATTATATAAATTTTATATAATTCGCCTTTAATTCAAAAAAGTTTACAAAGCCCAAACACAATTTGAAGAATTATATATATGTACGCTTACAACGCCTAAATTATAAAAAAGCACTTTTCCACGGCGATCAATGAATTATATTATATTTGTATATAGTTTAAAAATTATTTGATTGCATCAATTTATCATTACATTTATTTGATTATTCAGTGCATTTATAGTTAACGTAAATTTTGGTTTCAAGATTCATTACCATATCCAATCAAGTTACTATTGTGTTGGCGATTTTGTTGTCTTATGCTGTAAAATATATCGGGTACTTATTATAATTCATATTTAGCCAGGTCCATTCAGGCCTTATGTTGAAGACGACGAGCACGGTCATTTGATATATAGACATGGTGATATCTTATTAAACCAATGTGAGTATAATGAACAAACTTCATTTAGTGTTCTTCTTCATAATCACTAACATCTAAAAATATCGTTATCTTCTCATTCGATATTGCATCATTCTAAACACAATTACAAAAATACAATTTATGAAATAATACGAAAGCTAACACTAATATATATGGCATGGATTAGAGTTCTCAATGAACTATTCACTAATTATTATCATTAATAATATTTTATATTGCTTTCAACGTCTTTCAATATTATAAATGGAAAATGAATACACATACTTCCACAAATATTTACACTTCGAAATAATTATCGTATATTGAATTTATAAACACGTCACCACCGATAAGCATGCAACTAAAATATTATCCTTGTCGTAAACAAAAGCAATAGTGTTTAATTATGTAAATAGTACTATTTTTGGTATTTATATTAAAGTAACATAAATCAAATTTTATCATGTTAATCAACAAAATTATAGAGTACTTATTTAATAAAATCTCACGTAGAGCATGATCAAAAAGGACGCGTTGGTTAAACCTGTACTTTCGAAGTAAAATTTAAAAAAAATGTATTTGACCTGGTTTAGAGGAGGTTTCAATAATAATATATGCAAAATAGACACTCGTAAAAGTATTAGAATGTTTTATTCGAAACGGTAATCTTTCAAAAATGATTTAAAACCAGGCATGAAAAATTGATAAATATATATTATTTCATCTTTATCCTTATTATTCCAATGTTTAGCCATTTTTATCTTCATTTACTGGATTAATATATTTGTGGAATTTTAGAAAATAAAGATTTTTATGCCTGTATAAAATAGGATGAATAATTTAGAACAAGTTAAGTATTCTCGATGACAAAACATTCTTATTTTTCGAAGAACTTATTTTTTCTACAAATTGGACAAAAGCCAGAAAAAACACTATTATCGAGAAATTATGACTTGTCACTTTATGTTTGAACGCGGGCGACCTACCAGATATAAATGCTGAACAATATGGCCTTGATTTAGAACTAAGTTGAAATTTTTAACAAAATTTGTATTATTACATGATACTAAAATTTACTTAATAAATATACTGACATCTGAATTTTTTGACAGACCAAATTTTATCTACTCTAGGAGAAGGCACATTTGGAAAAGTTGTTAAAGTAAAAGATTTAAAACAGTAAGTTTGCATAAAATCGAAATTTAAATATTGAATTATTTTATTAATATTTTTTTTCAGAAATGATAGAACATTGGCATTAAAAATAATTAAAAATGTTGAAAAGTACAGAGAAGCCGCTAAATTGGAAATAAAAGTACTAGAAAAATTAGCAGAATATGATCCTGAATGCCGCAAGTAAGAAAATCATCTGAACTTTCAGTATTATGTAATATTTATAAATAAAACAATTTTATACCCGTTCCATAGTTTATGCGTGAATATGATTAACTGGTTCGACTATCATGGACATACCTGTATCGCATTCGAGATGTTAGGACTAAGTATTTACGATTTTTTGGTAAGTTCTCAATGTATAATAAATTTACTTGAACATATAAAAAATTACTTCGGAGTAATTATAACTTTGTGCTGCCATCACATATAAAAACTGACCGATATTTTGTTAATTAACTTAAAGTCTTGAAATTTGATCAAATGCATTTTGTAAAAAGCACACAAATATACATTTAATAGTTATTTTATTTCTCAAAAAAGCTCGGATCTATAAATCAGGCAATACGTTTCTAAGACTCTTAGTATATTTGAGAAAAGTAATAATGAACCCAAAATATTTGTTTTGCAATGCTGTGATATGGATAGTATTCTTTATCATATTATCTACGATAAATTGAAATGTTGATAAATATCTCTACAAAATATGATACCATCAACATTTATAATTAATTAAGTGCGTTAAAATTCAAAATAAATACCTCCGGTTACAAAAAAAAAACGCTAAGAGTAGATACATGCACACATATATAAAGATCCGCGGGTAAAAAGTCAACTACCATTATCTCAAAATGAAATAAAGTATACATTTTTTCAACAATACTATTTTAAAGTAGAAGTCGAAAGATGCGTAACCAGCATCTTTATCCATCATATTTAACCCAACGACGCCGATATCAGCAGATGGGCCCAGCAGATGTATGAATATTCATAACCAACGTTTTTTTCCAGTTTCTTTTAGATATTTTATTCAGTTTATGATATTTAAATAATTCAAGTAAAAATAATACAAATAAATGATAATAATTTTTGAGTACACGTTGTTTAATTCCTTTAGAAGATGTGTTAAAGTTAGATTGAACAGTTTATATAACCTCTATAAAAGCTTGCATGCGGGTACGGTAAAAAGAATCAACTGTACCCTTAACCTGGCAAAGGTTAAACAATAAGAAAATAATAAATAAAAAAATAAATTAAGTTAGAAAAAGCTATTTTAGAAGAGATAAATTAAAAAGATATTCTAGTACAGAAATTCAAAACGATAGTTTTTTCTTTTCTTTTCACATCTAAGTTTAGCTATTTAAAATTCTTTCGGAGATACAGGTCATGTTAATCCTTTTGTGTTCCTTCCTTTTGCTGAATTTTAAACGCGTTTCCTCAAAACTGCTCTTTTCAATACGATGCCCACAATTTTTCGTTTTCTACTGGACCGATGTACATGAAATTTTCGGAAAATCCTCTTATAGCCTTCTCTAAGACATACTAGCCTCATGTCAAAATTTTAATTTTTACTATTTTTTAAAAATTCGAGAAACTCAAAAAAGTGATAAAATATTGATCCAGAAATTGAAACAGTCACTATTTTGTCAAAAATTTCTAGATTAATCATTCTAGATTATATAATTTTTTTTCATTTCGGATTACTAAAAGGGTTGCAATCGCTGAGCATGGTCACGTGTCAACTTTTTGAGACGTCCCACTGAACCACTGCTAATTTTAAAATGATTAACTTTTTTGTTTGAATTTTGTTCTGTACTATTGTAACATAAGAAAATAATTGTAAAAATGATGATAGCATATAGATAAAAATTCATTGCCTTTTTTACGATGATTTAAAAACGATCTAGAATGCATGCCTCTACACTAGAATATCCCCTTAAATGATTATTATTCCAATACTGCAGATGAATATTTCTGGCAAAATACTAGATCGAGGTTATGTATACAATGTGATTTTTATAAAAAATGTGAAAGTGAAATTAGACCAACCCTGCCTTATATAGAACATGTAGTTATTGTGTTGAGCATCAAACAAAGAATTCGAAATAGGTAGAAAAAAGCTCTTTTTTAATGTTATTTACTGCCGACGCTTTGGAACTAGGAACGCGGTACGATCCATCTTCAGAACAAAAAAATGCAATATTGTTTTGCCAATTTCAATATATATATATATATATATATATATATATATATATATATATATATATATATTGATATATATATAATTTCAATTAATTTTTTTTTAATTTATTAATTATTAATTAATTTTAATATAATTTCAATATATATATATATATATATATATATATATATATATATATATAATGAGTAACAAATGTATTCTGAGTGGATAGGTGGATATATATGCGTGTGTGTGTGCGTCATATATATCTGTAAATTACTAGAGTATCTCACTCAGTAACATTTTAATGCGATGTTATTGAGATAACATTTTAGTCAAATGTTCGGAGTTATTGAGATAACATTTTAGTCAAATGTTCGGAGCTCAACACAAATTCATAAAATTCATTAAACGACACATTTTTTATAACTGTTTCAATTATCTTATTGTAGAAAGATAATGATTATTCCCCATATCCGCTAGAGCAAGTCAAGCACATATCTTATCAACTATGCTGGGCAGTCAATTTTTTACATCAGCATCATTTGACACACACGGATTTGAAACCGGAAAATATCTTACTAGTTAACTCGGACTACGATAGTGTATATTATCCCAAAAGAGTGAGTATATTACAATTATTTATTTAGCTTACTAATAAGGTGACCATATGTCCCGGATTATTTTGGATTTTTCTAAAAACAATATTTCTCGCATTGTCACGTACTTTAGAAGAGTCTTATTTTTAATATTTTTGTTACAAAACTCGTATTTGCATATCAAAATGCACAACACTATATAGACACAATAAGACACAATATTATAATATAGTATACTTACTAAAATAGGTATGAAGAAAATTGTACATAATATTATAGATTGAAAATATGAACAGATAGTTTTCATATTGCTTATAAAATGATATTAGAAACACAGATTTATAATTTATTTCGTACATCTTAAAAATCGTGAAAATATTCACTACGTCCGCTTAAATTCGTTTCGCCCACTCATTTCCTTTTGGGTTTCCGGAGTTTTGAAGCCAAATTTAAACTTTTAGTGTTAAATGGTCCGCTTTATGTAAATGATTCTTCACCATGATTTATTTCTTAATTCTTATTCCGCATTAAAAAATTATTTGAAGCCTTTAAAATCGCATCAGTAGAACACTTTTCGAAACAAACGACTTTCAACAATAAAATGATTTTCTATGTTTTGGGAATACTTGAAGTTGAATGTTGAAACTAATATGCACAAGGTTTGAGACAACAACCGAATGGTCAACTATCTCACGGTTTTATAATGGTCATTTGCTATACTTTATTTCTTATGCTATTATTATTTATATTAAAATATAAATTTGTAATATAATAAAATTTCACAAAAAAAAATCTCATAACATGTTTCTCAGCCCCAATAATATTTTACAGAGGTGTGAAGTAAAACGGGTTAAATGTTCAGACATTCGACTGATCGATTTTGGAAGCGCAACATTTGATCACGAACATCACAGCACAATTGTCTGCACGAGGCATTACAGAGCGCCAGAAGTCATATTAGGTAAATACATTACGTTCTACACCATAAATATATTTTAAATCATTTACCGTAGTGGAGCTCTCCATGGATTAGTGGTTAGGGCTAAGTATCTTCCAAACTAAAATTCCATTTCGATTTCTGCTTCGGACATCTTGATGTCAGGAGACGGTTTTTACTTGAAAATATAGGTAGCAATATGTACCCAAATGAAAATGGCCCTTATACGGTAATGCTGCGCCCAATAAAAAGGTCATCAGTGTTAGAGTTATTCTGCAATAATGAATGAATTCTAATGAAGTCATCAAATCGAGAAAGGACATACGTTGAGTTGCCTTTTATAGCTATGTTATTATAAAGTCGTCTCAACAAAATGTATAAGACTATCAACTTCTAATTTATGTAATTAACATATATAAAAAAATTTACCTTAGCAATGATTTATCACCCATTCTCACGTTTTCAGAATTAGGATGGTCACAACCATGCGATGTTTGGTCTATAGGGTGTATAATGTTTGAACTGTATCTGGGACTAACATTATTTCAAACCCATGATAATAGAGAACATCTTGCGATGATGGAACGAATTCTAGGCAAGATCCCATACAGGTAAAAAAAAATAGTTTGTAATTTTTTTACAATTGATAAATTGGTACTATTAACGAATACAAAATCCTATTTTAGTTTTAAGCATACTTTACAAAATACAGTATTTTTGGTCCTGTATACATAAATTTCACGCATGTGGAATTAATTTGTATCACCTTCGTTTTAGTATTGGTTTCATTTTTATTAAGTCAGATGTTTTGACTATTGAACTATTAAAATAAATATATATTTCAAAACAATTGGCTGTACGATATTGCTCTGAATTATGATAATAACATTTTTAAAAAAATAAATTTTGTAAAATAATATCAGCATGTCTATAAATAGCACACCTGTACTTTCAGAATGGCAAGGAAATCCAAAACCAAATACTTCTATCATGGACATTTGGATTGGGACGAAAAAGGTTCATCTGGCCGTTATGTAAATGACAATTGCAAACCCTTGATGGTGAGTACGTATGGATCATGCAAAAGCAAAAATGAAAAGTAACCCAATTAATTTGGGTAGAATACATAATGTCGATATTATAAGGTATGCTTTGTTTTATACGCAAAAAGTTTCAATAACGCTATTTAAATTCATACGTTTTATATAATACTAATATATTGATACGCCGATTTGAACCTAACAGACGAATAAATGACTCGTATTATTTTAACAGTAATATCGAAATAAATATTTGTGTAAAACAAAATTTTCTCAAACTGTTTTAAAATATAATAAATAGATTAGTTAACGATTTACGTACAATTAATAATATTTAAAAACGCGCGGCGACCGAATGCCTGTTTTCGTGTTTATATTATCGCTCAACGAACTTCGATAAACAAAATTCCACATGTTCAGACGGACGAGGAAATCGATGCTATAAATATATTTGTGTGGCTTAGTGGTTAGAGCTATGAGCTTCAAAACTGAATTAATCAAATAGAGATAGAATAATCATTGGGTTGCCTTATATAAATTTTTGCTTGCCATTAAAATTGGTCACGATTGCTAATAGAGCTCGTTAATCTGTTAATATAATAACAAACAAACAAAAAAACGTAGACACATGCATCGCATCGATACCTTGATATATTCCAAATTGAATAAATGACATTTAAATCAACTGTGTTAAAGAAATTCTAATAAAAATAGAGATGGAATAACCGTTGGGAAGCCTTCAAGAAGCAACGTAGTAGGAAGTGTCATCGCAACAGCTCGTAGAACCTAAGTTCCGAATACTGTTAAAAAAATCTATTAATGCGCATTTTTTGACAATTTTTTCGCAATTTTTGTTAAAAATTTCAGCATAATTGTGCTATAAACGTGTTTAATGTCATATGCAATTATTTCTTAAGTATGTGGTTGACTACTACTGACATATTTATGTATTTTACAGCGGTATATGCAATCGAATGACGAAGAGCACAGACAGTTGTTTCATTTGATATCTCTGATGCTAGAGTATGAACCGTCCCAAAGAATCACATTGCCGGAAGCTTTAAAACATCCATTCTTTCATAAGGTATCCATTAAACAGAATTCTAAACACAATCTCGAGCGGAGGGAAAGGTCTCATAGCTCTTCCAGATAAATAATTTCAAGATCATCAAACAAAAACTTGGCTGTTATAAGATTATTTATAAGAAATGTCTATTATATTAATATATATCTATATCGTAATAAAATGATTTTAATAAATTATGTAACAAACTCGAGTTTTATTTTTTCAATATTTAAATTATTAGTGATCGATAAAGTTTCAATATTGGACCAACATCTATGGAACCCTTTTGAATAACGGTGATTCTTAGCATTTCTTAGGTTTAGTTCTGCACATCATCAACCACCAAGTTTGAAAATGCAAAAAAAAAAACAAAAATTAAACATGTTCCTGTAAGCTTCATTATTTTGTGATTTTTTTTATTCACTGAAAAGATCTTAAAGCAAATTGCCAGACGATGTCAACCTGCACAAGTACCTCCAACACGAATCTAAAGGTTCACTTTTACGAGCAAGATGATATATACGCATTAAAATAAAATTTGTCCTATAACTGAAAGACGTACTAGCTTGAAAAACCTATATCATACACGTACAATTATATTATGTGAAAATTAAAAAATGAAATTATGGTAAAAAGTAATCAAATTACTCTTACTTCAATTACAAGTTTTTTTGCATTTTCAAACTCCTGGTGGATAGTGATCTGCAGGATTGAAACCTGGCAGGCAATGGTTTTTGTACTTAGCATGCTAAGAATTGCCAGTACAAATTTTATAATTTTCGCAAGGAACGTAGTTATTCAAAATAATCACGATAATATAAAATTATTCAATAATATAACATCGATTCAGGTTGGTATTAAAACTACAATACAAAGAAACTTTTCTTATATCCCAAAATTCAATTCTCATCATCAGGAACAATAATTTAGAAAAGAACTTCCACACAGGCATTTTTAAATATTATGATAAAAGAAGAAAATTGTAAGTTAAGAATATATTCTGTATATCGAATTGATTTCTATTCCATTCATATATTAGTTTTCTTTAAACAAAACTCATCTTTGATTAGTTTGACATATTTTTAATCGCGCCTTTCACCCCTTCTGTTATATTACCAAATCTTGTATTCATAAAAGTGTTAGTAATATATATATATATATATATATATATATATATATATATATATATATTTCATTATCAATATTTACCTGAAATGCTAATAAAGCAAATATATAGTATTAAAAATATACAAAAACTAACATGATATATAATATATTTCAGTTAAAATATAAATGATCAAGTAATGATTTTTTAAGTATCATGATCTGTCTTGCTCCTATTTACATTATAAAAATTAACGTTTTAATTTTAATGGGTTACCTTTATTTACAATTGTCCTTGATATAACAACGCACTTTTTTGTTAAAAATCGTTTCATTTTGCAATTATTAACGAAATTGCCGACAACTGTAATAAAATATCCTCGACTTGTGAACTTATATTTACAATTGCTTCTTAGAACACAACTTCTAATTCTCATTGCTAACTATTACCTGACTTATGCACTACAACGATGTATCACTTTTACATTTGCCTATATTAATATGCTCTACATTTTCAACTGGAATCTCAAAGGATAAAACGACGTGTTTGCCAGGCGTTTTATCATTTGGTTTAATCGACTCTGCATTTGTTAGAATCGGCATGCTATTTGATTGAAGAAGCGAACGCATTTCCTCACTGTCTCCGACCTCTGTTTTCTTATTAACTATATCATCACTAGCTTTGAATAATTCGTTAGAATAAACTGCTGAGAAGACGCGACACGACTTCTGATCTCCGTTGATCTTTTTCTTCGTGTTAACAAGAGAATAATCACCTTTCCTATCCCATGCAGGATTTAATATACTGTTAATATCTTTCATAGATCTGAAGTCAGGTATTGGCGGTGGTTCCTTCTCGATATAATTAATGTGTACTCCCTCCAACGCAGGTGCATCGTCGTTGGCGTCGTCGCTGATCTCCGTGGGGGTATAATAAACCGACATCTTACTCTGAGATTCATTCAAATTTGGAACTTCTAATGCAGCCAACTTATCTATTTTCGTTTTAATATACATATCTATGCCTGCAATATCTTTGGGATCGAACACAACAGAGTCGCTACGGCCGCAAGAACCGCTTTTACAATTCTCGAAATAGAAACTGGGCAAATTTTCTAAAACCTTATTAAGAGTCTGTTGCTGGTATTTGTACGACTCTCGGAAGCGGAGTACTTGATGAGCGCTAAACTTACGAATTTTATTTCTCTGGAAAACATAATTTTCCCTCACCCAGCTCAATTGGCCAGTCGAATAGTCCCGTACGCGTTTTACCTATAAAATCCAAAACAAATAAACAAAAAGTTAGACACGTTCCGAGTTTGCATTGCGCTCACCAAAATATGTGTTTCTACAATCAATAATGTGTCTGATGCCGCAGAAAAATTAAAATAAAAAATACCCAATGAATAATTCAGCAAAACTAATATATTTTTCATAAAAATAAAATCAACAGTAAAGAATAAACGTTGACGTATGTTTCCAATTAAGTTTATTTGCATCAATATATGAACATTATAACTGTTAATACTTCGCTACAATAGTGGCTATATAAAAGAAATACACGATTTTTACTGTGAGAAATATAGGTCACTAGATATTCAAATAATCTAATAAAACATGATAATAATTAAATACATGTAAAAACTTACCTGATCATAATATTGATCTCGCAATGCTGTTAAATGATGGGTGCCAATATCTCGTATTTCTTTTAAATGTTTAGCCTGTCCTGAATAACTACTCTGAATCCAATCCACTTGTTGAGCACAATTGTCCTTAATTCGATGAACCTAGTAAAAATAAATAAAATCAAAATTTCAGTTTTGATCAATTAAAATAAAAAAATATTAAGTTTACTTGTTGAGCGTAATTTTCTCTGAGTCTCTCAAGTTGTTGACTTTTATATTGCTCAATGTTGTCTAACATTGCATAGATTTGTTTTGCTCTGGGTGATGTTCTATCTTTATGACAACAATTGCAGCATTTATCAACAATTCCAAACCTTAAAGTAATATTTTATTAATACATATTAACAAATATATTTTACATTGTAAAACAAAAGTTATAAGACAACTTACCGAATAAATATGAACTTCAAAAGCTGTACTAAAAGTGTAATACCTAAAAAACAAGCAGCACAGAACGCTCCAAAAAATATACTCATAATCTTTACATTGTAAATAATAATAGGGTCAATGTACAACAATACTTCTGCTGTTGTATTGGCAATTGGATTTGTAGCAAAACAATAATAGCTACCACTATCTTCACGAGATATATTTTGAATAAATAGAGTGCCATTCTCCAAAACTTTCATTTTTAAATTATGTCTATTAAAAGAATTTCCATTTACAACATGAATTTCAGGATGCTTGTGAAATATATCTGGTACACTAGGATCAGGATTCCAATGCAATATATAATTATGAGGTGTAATCCATGTTACTGAAGGATGAGGGTTTCCGGCAAAACTGCATTCCAGTAGAGCTGAACTTTTCAATGCATGTAAACCAGGTGGCGATGTATGTACAATCCTTGGCTTAGTGCAATTCAAATTTTGTAATGTGGGAATCATATCATTAGGGTATGAATGAGGACCACAACTGAGATCAGAATTAAAAATTTTACTCCTGTTCTCTGCCCAGTTAGCAAACCAATGCATTCGACAATCACATGTCCAATGATTTTCTGAGATATTCAAGTCTTGTAGATAGTTCAGGGTTGAGATGGTATTGGGCAAATATGTTAATTTATTGCCACTAATATCTAATATCTCTAAATGAGGTGTATCTAGGAAAACAAATTGTTCAACTTCTTGAAGAACATCATTGTTCCTCACAAACAAATTTCGTAAATTGCCTAAGCCAATGAACTCAGAGTTATGAAGAACTTCAATTTTAGTGTGGTCCAAAATTAAAGTCTCTAGTTTATTATTCAATCGGAATAGTTTTTGAGATAAAGTCTTGATTAAATTATGACTTAGATCAAGATATTGCAAATTATGTAGCATACTAAATGTTACAATTGAAAGATTACCCAAAGGATTATATTGAAGATGCAATGTCTTCAATTCCTTCAAACCATCGAATAAACCCTTTGAGAATGATTCAAGGTTATTACCTGATAAATCCAACTCTTCCAAGATTGTCAAGTCCACAAGAGCATTAGAATAAATTCTTGATAAATTGTTATTGCTTAATGATAATGATTGCAAGTTTTTATTTTGACGAAAGAAATGATCATGCAATGTAACTATGCTATTTTTCGATAAATCTAGTATTCTTAATTTTGAAAGTGGTGCAAACACATTCACCGGTATCACGTGTAACTTATTTCCTCTCAAATGTAATTCTTCTAAAGCATACAAATCAAAAAACATAGTTCTAGGCAAATCTCGCAAATAATTGTTTGATAAATTCAATCGTTTCAATGAATAGAGTGGTTGAAGAACACCATTGCGAATAATTTCTAATTCATTACTACCCAAATCCAACTCAATTAAAGTGCTGGCATTATAAAACGACGTATTTTCAATTTTTCTAATTCTGCTATTTCTCCAAGTAAGTGATGTTATATTTTTAAATATTAAATTTTCTAATTTCACCACAGTCACATTCTCCAAATGCACTTGCTTGAACTGTTCATTTATAGGAAAATATTCCCTATTAGAACAATACAATGTAGATGCGTTAGCACACTGGCATTGATCAGGACAAAACTGGCTTAAAACCGGCTGGCATGATAATGCTGTTAAAAGCACCACTACAAATGCCCCAGGAAAGAACATATTTGCACAAAGGCAAATTATATGTCTCTAGCATTAAATCATGTTCATACTCCTGAAACAATCAATATTTCTTAAATAGAATGAGGAACAGATTATTAATTTTATAAATTCTAGAAAAACTGGACACACCAATGTCAGTTTCAAAATTAAAAAGAAATTGAAGCATATTTTTCATTCAAAACTTAGCTAGCAGAATTAAATTAACGACAGAGACGATGATTACTGAATAATTGTAACCCTGCACTAATTTAATAAACAACTCACTAAACTAAACATGATATTTTTTTTTAAGCTTTTGCAAAAAGAATTAGCATCAAAAGTATTGAAAGTTATATTGATATTGCATTATTACGAACTTTGAACAAAAAAAAAATACAATTTTATTTTCGTTCAATTTGTGACAGTTTGTAATAAAGTCATTTTCATTGAAAAGATTAAATGTTAAAAATCATTTTCATGAAGTGATTAATTATCCATTCAAATGAGGGTCAATTAAAGATTTTTTAGACCATTTTATTCATAAATATCAGAGCTAATTAATATTGTAAAAAAATAATATTAATAACATAGAATAAAGATAAGAATAATTTTGAAACCATGGATAAGAATGTTTTAGCATAGAGAATAAAGATAAGGATAATTTCGTAATAATTTGATAAAAATGTTTCAGAATTGCTTATTTTAAATTACATGTAAATATTATTTTCACGTAAAAAGGGCCAAAATAAATGAATTACATTAACCATCGAAAATTTATCTGAAGTATTAATCTAATATCAATGTCCAGCTGTTTTCAATTACCTCTATGACATTCACCTCACGTCACAAACCACTAATATACATATTGCTTTTGCGAATTTGCACACATTTCATAATAAAATGGTGAAATTAAAATATATCCACAAGTCGATATATTAATTTAATTTGATTAGCCACATAGATTATTTCAATATTAGTATTTATGGAAACATGGTTTTGTAAAATGATTCATTAAACAACTGTCGCGGACAAGTGCACTTAAAATTGTTAATTTGCTGTTTTTAAACTAGAATTTAATTAACATGTGATCTAATTTCAACACAAACACGATAACGCGAGAAACTTCAAACGATGTCCTTTTGTCACTTCGTTCTTGATTCGGAAGACATTGCACCACGCCATAGATTCAGAGACGGAGACAGTAATACACCATAATACACAAGTAGACGACACGGCTGGGTGATACACTATGGAATACGACATTACCAGATGACATATAAAAGTACGCAATTATTGCATAACATAACGTACGATACGGTGAAATATTATATTCATTTCGACATTTTGATATTTGGATATTTGCAACTTATTAGGAATTTGGGAATTATATTTCATAGACATTTAATAACTAGCTGTAAGTGAAATTCTGTCTTAAGGCAATTAAGGCATCGTGCCTTAAGGCAAATTGCTGGAACTTCCCGTACCAAAAATTATTATTTTTTTAAAAACGATTAACATTTTTGAAAAAATTTTACTTCGAAAAAATAAGATTTGTGAGAAACTACAAATTGGACAAAAAATTACTTTTTTTTGAAAAAAAAAAATTTTTTTTTAAAAAAACATTTTTTTTTTAATTTTTTGTTTTTTTTTAAAAATGTTTTCTTTATTTTGACATATTTTGCAAGATCTAAACTTTTTTTCAAAGCAATCGTACTGTTTTAACTGCATAAAGAAGAAATATCAAAGCGCGTAAGCGCCGCGTCGCCGTCTAATGCGTAAACATTGGTACGGAACCCATAGGAATGTAAACCAAATTTATACTTATTGTTAAAATCTCTATAAAATATCTGATAATTTGATGTGCATATGTCTAATGATCATTTTTGACCGCCAAATGGCATTTTTTTTTTTACTTTTTTCATTAGATCTCCGAAACCGCAATTTGTATCCGCACATACATACACACACGCACATACACACACACACACACACATACACACACACACACATACATCCATTTTTTCTAAGGTATGCCAAAATATTCAGAAACCTTTGAAACGTCGAGAAATGCAAAAATTTTCATTTTCGATTTTTTTGCGATTACTATAACTTGCCCTACGGGAAGTTAAAAAACATTGTTGATATTTAACCCTCTGTCGGTCGGATATTTATTTACCTTCGAACGGTCGGTGTGACCTGATGGCTGGACCACTATTCATTTAACATGCATTTATATGTAATAAATGAGTTTTTGGTGTCTTATATATTAACGATTATTAGTAGTAAATATTTATAGTTTTGATTTTTTCTTTTTCTTACCGATTGCATGTGTTGAGCTTATAATAAAAATATTATATATTATATTATATTATATAAAAAAATCGAGGAATATATAAAGATCGTTGCTTATTTTTGTTAATTTTTCTGTTGCATACCATCCAAACACTCTAATAATAGATTTACTGAAACAAGTACCAACGAGAAGATTAAAAAGAAAGTGGCCGCAAGATTTAATGAATTAACTATCAATATATTTATGCAAGGAAATTCCCCGCTGGGGGAATTTCTAAAAAACCCTGTACCCGTTAGCAAATAACCTCATTGAACCCAAGGTTCAGATTGGTTATAAGAAAAAAATTAAAAAAAAAAAAAAAAAAATCTGTTGTATATCAATGAAAAACAATATTTATTCTTTTTCGGCGCCTTCGAAATGAATGTGAAATTCAAATGAAAACGAAATGAGGTGCGTCGCCTTTGAAATGAGTTGTAAAACTCAAAGTGAAAATATAATTTCTCTACAGGTTTGCCAAAAAAATTTTCGAACGCAGTACGGGTAGAAAAATTGTTGATAATGTGCGTATTACTCATCCGATTTTCAATGTTTGCGATGACCAATATAGTCTAAGCGCCAGTGAACTATTTGACTAACCAGTTTTCTCAAAGCTAGAATTTTTTTAAATGATATTTCATTATCGGTACATTAAGAAAGTGCCGGTCTGGCAAGCATCTCGCGATTGCGTCATCATCCCTCGAGTTTTTGAAAATGTAAAAAAAAAATTTTTTCAACTTGCTTTCACAAGGCTCTCCTTATGGCCAAAATATCATTGAAAATATGCCAAAGTAGCCTCTTTTTCAAACTCAATTTTTGGCGTAACCATAAAAGATATCGAAAAAATTACGTGATTCTACTCATATTGGCTTAGGCTACATAATGTATAGTAATATATGCTAAATAATCCTTTATTATTAGCTAAAAAGGATAAAATAATTATTCAATTAATGTTTTCGGATAGTGCGTTTTGTTTAATTACTTTTTTATTAGCGTTATTCGAAAGCCTTTTGTTTTTTTTTTTAGTACTGCAAAAATTGTTCAAATCAAATTTGTGGAACACATTGAAAAATTTAACAAACCAGAATCAGTACACCCGCGCGTAACGCATCGCGCACTGCTTTCCGACCGAACGAATTCTGTGCGGGCTACTATTAGCGTTACGCGCGGGTGTACTAATTCTGTTTTTTTTAGATATATTAGCCCATATAATTTTTTGAAATTGATGGGTGGGCTCAAGCCCACACAGCCCACACGGTTCCGACGCCACTGCATATTGGGGTTAGGGAAAGACGGCTAGGAAATTAGTTCGGTATTAAATTTAAAGAGTATGTTTTTTACTAAAAATAAAATCTAACATTTATTTCCCAATTTTCTCATTAGCCCAAATTAATACCACATTATTATTTCTTGCAAAAATAAAACAAAATATAACTAACAACACGAATATTCTTGAAGAAACAAAATTCTAAGATAGTCATATTTATAAATATGACTTAGAATTTTGTTTCTTCAAGAATATTCGTGTTGTTATAACTATAGTTAGCCTTCCGCGTTTTCAGTGTTCTGCCTTTTAGTGACAAAAGCATCTATTGTCGTTTATCTTTTTTTGCGTTGTACTGTTAAAAGTTCTTCATAAATGGATAAAGCACCTACCACCTATGACACCACGCCTTTCTTTTGAGCTCCCGTCAAAATTCAGTTCATTTTCAATGAATTGATTCATTATTTCATGCAGTTATGGTGGACAAACTCCTTTTTATAAACGCTATCGAAAGTTCTTGTTGCTCTTGTTGCCGTCAATATTTTTGTTTTCTTCTTGTTCAGTTCATTCCTTGAGCTCACCATTAGAAAGACTGCGCTGCTTCTTGAATTATTTCTTCGACATTTTCCTCATTTATCGCGTCACAATCAGTGAAGAAATTAAAAAGAATGCCCTTAACTTCAAGAGCAAAATTGACCATCGTCCAAATGAACTGATAGCAACTGATTTACAACACCACATATAATATAAGATTTAAAAGAAAGCATTTAATAGATCTAACATTTTAATCAACAATAAGTTGATCTACCATATTATCTATGGTGTGTGTATGTATATGTATGTGTATATGTAGTCTGTGTAATGTACTTTGTTTATAATTGTATGTATATATTTGAGTTTCTTTTTTTAAATTTAAGATATATTTTAATTAAATTAAAATATAATTTAGTACATTAATAAAAGGTGAACCACTGGGTTTTTTTTTAAATTCTATGTTATTTATCAAACTATTACTCAATGTCTCTCTATTTAGACAGATTGTATATTTATAAGAAAATAAAACAAAAATTCTTCCTCATTTATCCCTTGAAAACCTAGGTTGAAATAATAGAGCGCTAAACCGAAACAGCGCTAAACGATACGGCGTTAAACCGTACTGTATTTACAAAAACTCACTGTATTTACAAAAACTAAAAAACGTAAATATCTGTATAAATATTTATGCATATTAGGGCGAGTCGATTTAAGGGTCACATAGGCGCATATGTCTTTCGGATTCTAGGGATCAAAATAAAATACTTTGCTGAAGAAACCATACTTCTAAAATGAATTCTGATGTCCCGTGACCCCTTTCAGGGGGAGTCCCAACTACGGCCATGGTTGGATCAACCTTCCAAAGTTCGGGGGTCATACATTTGGACGCTATTGGTACACTCTAAAATGCACGGGGCATCAGAATTTATTTTAGAGGTATGGTTTCTTCAGCGAAGTATCTTATTTTGATCCCTAGTATCAAAAATCATATGTGCCTAAGCGACTATTTGAAAAAATGTTTTTACAGCCCAATCGTCGAAATAAAAAAGTCAAGAAAAATAAGTTTATTTGATCCTAGCTTTCATTCAGTGAAAAATAACTAAAATATTAAAACTAAGTAAATAATCTGTGAAGATTTAAGTAAATAAAATAACTAATTTAAAACAATCACCGTTTGGAATCCTTACATTAAAAATTTCTCTAATGATCTATATCTATGGTATGAGGATGAGCACATACAATTTTGACGTCATTAACAACAACAAAAATAAACAGAAATAGCAATTATTAAACAATCACAAATATGTACTGTTTTGTGTCTAGGTTCGAAATGGCACAACACAATGGCAAAATTTACAAACGACAGAGAGAGAGAGAGAGAGAGAAAAATAGAAAGATTTTTGATTATTTTGTTAATTCATTTCAATTAATAGCTATAAATTATATTAAATGTTGGTATAAAGTAACACAGACTATAATTATATAATGATGATTAGTTTTTGGCAAAGGCAGGTCCGGCCGTTACGGAGATAAAAAGCAAAGTGTGCAGAAAATAGAAATCGAGTTTTTGAGAGAACGGAGCATCCGATTTGCATGACCTAAAAACATTCAATTAGTAATGATTGGGAGAAGTGTTTATTAGTTTTTGGCAAAGGCAGGCCCAGCCATTTCGAAGATACGGAGCTAAATGTGTAAAAAATGGCAGTTTTTGAGAGAACTAAGCGTCCGATTTAAATGATTCAAAGAACTTTCTGCTGGTCTTAACAAAATAATTGATTTTGGAAAAAAAATGTTTTGTTTCAACTTTTTTTTTTCAAAAAAAAAATTTTGTGTATCGAAAATAATTAAGATTTTATTTTTAATTCTGACTATAGTTCTAATATACTTTAAATAAAAATAATTTCAACTTTGCAATTCAGTTTATATAATTCTTATAAATATTAGACAATGTTACAATATTAATAATAATCTATTTGAAAACATTCAGTATTCCTCGAACATTTCGTTACGGTACGGAAAGTTCCAGCCTTCCAAGGCACGATGCCATACCCCACTAGTTTTAAATTGATTTTGTGATTATAACTAACCTAACCTAAGTAATATTGTAATATAACACTTATCTTATATTTAGATGTTACGTTTCCTGGTAAATGAAGATATCCTTTAAAAGTTACGGTCAATCGTACTTACTAATTGCTTTTATTTAAAACCGTTCGTTACATTGACAGCTCGGCACGCAGTACAGTCACAGTAATGTGAGACTTCATCCTCATCCATCTGTCATAGAAGTGTGCTGTCAGCGTTTCAAATGTCACTTGATTTTAATCTTTGCTTGCTATCGTCGAATATGTGATTAATAGATAATTTTATTTAATTGTTTTTTATACCTAATTTTAATTAAAAATTTTATAGTCTATATTTATAAGTATGAATTTTAATAACAAGTTCTATTTTTTATCAACAATGGGCGCTAATAAAAGTCTTATAAATATACCTGCATTAATTTTTATATTATTACAATTGTTTACTTACGTTAGGCCTGAAAATGAGCCGTTCGTGTCAGAACCTGGAGATGTACGTGTGATCTTCGTTATTATATATTTTTTAACTTCTACTTATTCTAATATAACCTCAACCTTTGCGCGTGTTTTATTTGTATAGATGGGGTCATCAGAGACTAAAAATGAAGCAGATGCTCTAACCGATGTCGGTTTTATTCATGCGTTTGTTGCTGCCTTGTCTGTGATTGTTGTTTCTGAACTTGGTGATAAAACATTTTTTATTGCTGCAATAATGGCTATGCGACATCCTAGATTTACTGTTTTTGCTGGAGCAATAGCCGCATTAGCGTTAATGACTGCATTATCTGGTACTTGAAGAGGATATTTTAATAAATTTATAAATAAGTTTTTACTTTTCGCTCCCTGATAAATCATCAAATATGTTCTTGTTCTTACATATTGCTTTTCTAATTTTTCATATGTAAATACACCTAAGTCTGTTTTTACACGGTCTTTTTGTACACGGTTTTGATATAACACGGTTTGAAAATTTAATATTTTTAATTTTTTTACACGATTTTATTCCATTTAGCACGATTTGAAATTTTATGTACTTAAATTTTTTTGTCAAATTTAATTTTTGCGATGTATGTTTATATCACAAAAAAGTACTTATGAAAGAAAAAAGTCTGAAACCATCGATAGTATCGATAGTTTGCGAACACCTGCTTAAAGATTTAGGTAAATTCCCCTTTAGTGCGTACAAACAATTTTTACTGTTCAAAGCAAATGTGAATAGCACTAATTTAGGGGAATTATTATTAAAATAAACATGAATTCTTGTTCTTGAAAATTCTTGTTTTTCACTAATTTTAATAGGTTTTAGAGAGTAGGACAAATCACCCATTTTTGTATAAGATCAATGTCTTTTTTACACGTTTTTTTTTTTTACACGGCTTCTTCTGGAACCAATCTCCGTGTAAAAACAGACTTAGGTGTATTACAAGTGAGGATGATTAATTTTACATCAATTCCGATATAACTAAAGCTTAAGTCAATTAAATTAACAAGCTGATAAGAAAATTTTCAAAATATAGGAAACGCCAATCTGAAAGAAATGAGAGTTTTTGCAAACAAATGTTTTACACTGATAATAAGTTTTGCACTTGATTCAATAGATTCTATGAGAAAATCATTTAAATTTGCATGACTGCAAATTTGGTATTAAACATTTATTCTGTTAATTTCTTTGACCAATATACAATCACTTACTATCTTGATGGGAGAATGCACTCTCAGTTTCTGTTATAGTACAGGATAAAACAAAGTAATTGTAGCATGTTTTTTAACAATAATATAATTTCTATACTTTTCAATTCCATAAAATTATCATAATGAATGTTACAGCTGTCTTCGGAATGGCTGCAACAGTAGTTCCTCGGGCTTATACGTACTATATAAGCACAGCTTTATTTGCACTATTTGGTATAAAAATGTTGAGGGAAGGTTGGAAAATGCCATCATCTACTGCACAGGAAGAATTAGAAGAAGTGCAAGCTGATCTCAGGAAAAGAGAGGATGAGGTAATATATATATATATATATATATATATATATATATATATATATATAAATGATAGTACATAGTCATATTTTTTCACTTACAGTATGAAAAAGAATCATCATCAAGTCTTGTAGATCCAGAAAGTGGTGGAATTAAAAAGAAAAGTGTTATTGGATTGATTTCTAGAACCTTGATCCAAGCATTCACCATGACATTTTTGGCCGAGTGGGGCGATAGATCTCAGCTGACAACCATTATTTTAGGTGCACGTGAGGTATAATGCATAATATTATATAGCTATAGTTAGTGATAGTTGTGCAAGAATACTCACTAATTTCTTTCAGGATGTTACTGGAGTTATAATAGGCGGTATATTGGGACATTCTTTATGCACAGGACTGGCTGTTTTAGGGGGACGCATGATTGCACAAAGGATCTCAGTTAGGACAGGTATTTGATTGCTTATTATATATTACATATCATTTATGTTCATTATCATTGCAACCATAATATTTTTCCAGTTACTATAATTGGAGGAGTAGTGTTTTTACTCTTTGCACTATCGGCGTTATTCTTTGATCCAAACAAAGACTGAAGTTAAATTAATGCAGCAGCCCCATTATTTTATACATATATGAATATAACAAGACAAAATATACACATAGTATTAGGGCTGGCATTAGAAACAAAATTTTAGAATAATTGTTGATTTTAGAATAATATATTTCCATAAAAAAATGTATAGGAAATAATTTGTATCATACAAACATGTAATTTGTTCACAAGGAGTATTTAGTGCTTAATGGTACTAAAGCGTTAAATCTATATAAAAAGCAGGTAATTGTTTTTGAACACTACCATCTGTTATGCAAATTGTTCTGTAAGTCCTACAATTTATTTTTAATTTTGTTAATACTTTGTAATTGTCACGTTTTGTAAATCATTAACTGACCAAAGAGAAAAATATTATAAAAAATAATGCCTGGTGATAGGAGTTAACAGATTTGTTTCTGGTTAAAAGTAATATTTACATAAGAGCTGTGACAATTTAGGTAATTCATAATTGCATTGTTTTTATGTAGTTATGAAGTGAGATTTTTTGTAATAATAGAACACTGCCTTAGATTCCTTTATAATTGATTGATGTCTGAATTCACTTTCTTAAATATTTAACGTCATAAATAAATTTTCCAATTAGTTTCAAATGAACAAGAGAGATGAGTATTTTGAGACGAGAGAAACTTGTTAATGTTTTTCAATATTCCAAAATGTTTTTATGTAAAATTTATTATTGACTTGCTAGTGCGTAATGTTATACTGTCTTGGCAAATATACCTATTCCATAATTTGTCATAAGTGTATAGCATAATAATTTTCATATTTGTTAAGAAAATATTTTGAGAAAAAATTAAAATTTTCTTAAATAAGCATTTAGATCTTCTAGCAGCATTAAAAAGTGTAGAAATTGAGTGGATAAACAAAATGTTTAAAACGAGCAACTGTAAGATAATTAAGTCTGTACTTTTTGTTAAAATATATTTTATATATACAGTCGTTATTGTTATTAACATACTCCAAGAAATGATAGCAATTTTAATTAAACCAGAAAAACATTTTCACAGTAGAATAGAAGTATGAAACACTTTCATCAATATTTCATAATTAAATTTTTGTTTTGTTGCAATAAGAAAAAAAAAAACAGTTTAAATTTATGAGCGTGCGATGTCGTACTTTGCTTGAAATTATATTTATAACAGTAATATATTCATATTTGTAATCAATTTATTTCAACATTCGATCACAAGAAGCGAAGTTATTTCAACGGCGTTATATGAAGAACAGAACAACAATATATTTGTTGGATTCTGTGTAATTTTGTAAATTACTGCTCCATCCGTACCTTTTATAGTATTATATAGTTAATAAAAGCCGAAAATGAATTATATAAGCCGAATTACAGTTAAACTAATACTAAATGAATGAATAAATGATGATGAAAACTTTGCGTAAACCCTTGGGGGGCGTCCATTAATCACGTGTATACCCCCCCCCCCACCAAACATCATGTGTATTTTTAGTTATGTGAAAAAACTAATTTTTTTTTTGAAAATGTTTGATTAAAAAAAAATCAGTTAAAAAATAAATGCACGTGATATCTTACTATACCTCTCTTCTCCCCCACGTGATATTTCGTGATTTTTTGTTAAACACCCCCCCCCCCCTCCTCCTAAAAACCTCACGTAATTAATGGACGCCCTCTTGACGCGAGAGGTCTTCGGTAGTCGCCTAGAAATAGAGAAACGACTCGTCTATAAACGGCACATACTTGATTCGTGATGTGTGATGAATAAAAAAAAAAACGCTTTAGCACATTTTAATATAATCATTTATTTGACCAGCCACCATTTTGCTTTATTATATTGTTATTTCTATATAACAAAATATTTAACAAAAATATACAACTTTTTACTCAATATATACATTTTTTATAAATTCACTTCACTTTAAACAAACTTAAATAACATGTTGATACTCCAGAAAATGCTACCTACAAATTGAATCTGCATATTTTTTATTGAAATCTAGTGACTCACGATTGATACTACTATCACTATTCGATCGGAATTATGAAAATTGTTCTTTTTAATATGTAACAAAGCATGTAGAAAAATCATATCAAACACGCGACAGAAAAATTTTAATATGCTGTAAGAATCAAAATTGCCTAACTGGAGACGCATACGAATTTTTGCGTTGTCGTTTAAAAATAAACTTCAATTAAACTAAGACGAATGTGAACTTCATTATTAGATTATAATAAATTTATATAATATGTTAACACATTGACGGACAGTAGGAACAAGCGAAGTTCGAAAATTGACACTATATGTTTTTGTGATTTTTAGAATGTTAGAAGTATAGTTTTACTCTTTCTGCTTAAATAAACTTAATTTTGATTAATTTAGTACCTTTAATTAGGTTGCGGCTATAACAGCAAAAATTTAAAAACGTAAATGACAGGTTTAATGGTTCAAACAAGCAATTTTTGTATGCAACAAAGTATTTTTGGGAGTTTTACACGAAATGTAGAAAGATTTCCATACTGCTACATCCAGTAGATCCTTTTCTGTTTAAAGTATAAAATGAATAATAAACAAATACATACCAGTATAGTTATATAAATAATAATAAATATCGTTAAACGTATCAATAAGAACTATAAATTCAATAGAAAACACGATCGCACTACTCCATTCACAACCATGTGCATACTGAATCTGCAACTCGTATAACAGGTGAAATAATATATGAACTTCAACCTAAAAAGATGTTTTCAAAACACGACACTATGCTTCTACGTATACGCCAGTAAGTGCACATTTGTGCTGCTATAGCCGTAGTGTCTAAAAACGACCGTTTCATTTTGGACGGCTATAGCAGTCATGCCACATTGTGAACTTCACTTTGACGGCTATAGCCGCAATTGTCCGTCAACGTGTTAAATTTTATTCGCATTTGCACAATTGTATAATCATGATATAATTTGAAGACAAAATATTGCGTTTTGTTATTATCTTATTTTGAAGTCTAAGATAAGGTCATTAATATTTCTCAAATCGGCCGATATTTAGGTCTCAAAACAACAAGTAGTAATTACGTTATCGCACTTTTTCAAATAGTTTTTATCGCTTGTATTAAAAAGTAAAACTAAACAATCGTAGAAATTAATTTCGCCAAATTAAAATTTTATGTACGAATAGCATATTGTATATACTATTATGAGAAATAGTACATTGTGCCATAACCAAAGGCGTATGGTACTAATGTAAATTTCCATAGTTATATAAGACACACACGTATATATATATATCTATATATATATATATATACATATATTTGATATTTGAGATTTGTTATTATCGCGTAAAGTGTTTCTTATCACAGCAAAATTTCAATCTAATATTTATGAAAGATAGATTTGCCAATGCCAATTGCCATTAAAAAAATCATCAAACATGTTTCAAACAAATCGTGAAACAAATGATTGCTGATTCTTTTAAGCATATAAATATAGCCTATCACTTTTGAAAATGTGCCGCAACGAATGGCGTTCGTGTCATATAAATGCAAGTTTAGTAGCTTTATTTCTACGAAAAGAAAATTTTCATAATGCACAATCGTATAGTGTAGTGAAAAGTTATATAAATAAATTATTTAATAGATTTTTAACCAATTGAATACTATGTAGATAATAAATGTCTAATAATAAGAATATAATATTTAAGCAGAAGAGAGTTCGCAAAATTTTATTCAATGGATGTTTCTTCTATAAAAAACTTGATATATACATAAATTTAATAATAAACGCAATTATTTTATTCAACAAATAATAATCTATCAAAATTATTGGTATACGCTTCCGGTATTTATTTAACTTTGAATTAAGTTTATTACCGAAGAAACATTCTCATATAAATATTATGATATATTTTGACCAGAATATATCATAAGAACTCACCACTGAGTTTTGAAATGAATTCCTAATTTGCGTATTAAAATTCAATATAAAAACACTGAAAATAACCATTTTGTATAGGTAAAAATATTATCTTAAAAACTCACTAACATTTTGTATTAACAATAAGATATTTATATTAGATAGTATTTATTACGAAGTTTGACGTAGTGTTCAAACTAAGCCAGCACTATATTAAATGTTATGCTGTTCTGTAATATCTTTAGGGTATATTTCGTTTATGCGCATAATAGGTTTTTAAAATTTACAGCTGCTGCGTTGCATAATCTGGACTATAAGAATTGACTAACGCATCTAAATATTTCAAAATCAATATAATTGAATCATTTTTTGAATATTCGAATTTTTAACATCATTATTAACAAAAGAAATTATTTTAACGTCGTTTCTTCACAGCTTTTATAAAAATGTTTTAGAATTTTCATATTTAAATTTATTAAAGGGCACAAGATCGAACTCACTATAATATCGAACTAGTTGCTAGTCGTATGTCGGACGGCGGGAACATTATCCCAATATCTTGTATACCTATCTAATAATTTGTATATTTTATTTAATAAGCGTAGCCTATCGCTGTAATAATTTGCTAGGTTCCTTCTTTTCCACACGCGATTATCGTATATTATAACATTTAACAACAAATCATAAGTCGAAATAAATCTTTTATATTAATTATTGCTTTCACTAAGTCAGACTTTTTAAAATGTACACTAGAATATTTAAGAATATCTCCTTATAAGAGTAAGTATTTGCAATCAATAAGGTATACATGTTAAATATATAATAAATGTAAAGCATATTAAATAGTAAGTACAACTTGGACTAGTATATAGGCGTAAAACGCGATAATGTTAAAGGATGGAATTCAAAGGCAAAATACTTTTTAACAAATTAAAAATTAAAACAACACTACCTAGAATAAAAGACAAATTGACCTGCTGTCTATTAAAATAGGTAGTTGCGACCATGTAATATTGCGTTTGAAATCATCCATTAGCATTAATTGTATTGTATTTATAGTATTGTCACAGAATCGGGCTTCAAAGTCTTTGCTGAGGCTACTATCACTTTGACTCGAAGTGCGAATCAACACGATACGACAGCGAGCAAAGAGCAATCTGGCGCCCATATAACGAGATTACTTTCTTTTAATTCTAATGGTACTCGATTAAAATATTATTTCATTTGACACTTTGAATTATCCTTATATAATATTTATATACATTATTTATTTCAACAATATTTAGGCCTTACGTCGTGCCAATTCTTTTTGCAACGGGATCGTTGATTATTAGTATTTCATACATGAAATTACTTACATAGCTATCAGTATACTATATTATCTACCGGAAGCTTCGGGATGCTTTCTACTCAGGACGATTTTGGTGACAAAATGAGATCCGCTTTAGTGAGAGTGGCAACTTCGTGGTCGCGAATAATGCTCTGCGCGTTCGATTGCTCCATCGGATCGCCCCCCGATTGGAAGAAACGATCTGTAAGTCGAATATTGGTTTAAAATACACATTCGTCATTATCCTTAAGAACCAAACACGCTCCTGTCTAATATGATTTCAACATTGATATAATAATAATTGATTATTTGTTAACTTCCCGCAGAGTAAGTTATAGTAATCGCAAAAAATCGCAAACATTTTGGCATACCTTAGAAAAAATGGATGTATGCAGTGGTGTTGTGCTAATATTTTTTTTGCCGGAACGCTAAAATTAAAAAAAACGGTTTAAAAACCGGTTCTCATGTTTGTTCCGGTTCCGTTCGAAAAGGAAAGAAACAAAAATCATTACAAAACCTATTTTGTGCACATATATGTATGCTTATTATAATAATAGGAACATTTAATAAAAATTAGTTAAATTATAATTTATAAAATTCACTTTCTATATGTAGTGATTTGTTTTGCCGGAACGCTTTCCGGCCAAAAAATGATTTGCCGGAACGACGTTCCGGCTCGACAACACTACTGGATGGATGTGCATGTGTGTGCGCGTGTATGTTCGTATGTGTGTGCGGATCATAGAGCTTATACTACATTTGGCATATCTTATATTTATGTAGCATAAGGTCTATGGTGCGGAAACAATTTTTCGTCGACGATTTCGAGAACACGAATCAACCGATTTGAATAATTCAAAAAACATTCGAATCCTATTGACAAGAAGACGTGCCGATTAGTTTTTTGCCGGGGTAGGTCCAGCCGTTTCCACGATAAGGAACAAAAAGTGCCCGAAACGGTAATTCAGTTTTTGAGAGAACGAAGCGTCGGATTTTAATGATTCAAAACATTTTATTTATATTAACGAAAAAAAAAGTTAAAAAGATGCTATTTGGCTATCAAAAATAATTATTAGACAAATGCACATCACATAATCAGATATTTTATAAAAATTTTAGTAGTAAGTACAAATTTTGTTTGCATTTCTTTGGGATCCGTACCAAGATTTATAATGTTAAAAATCAAATATTTCAAAAAGTCCAACTTTTAAAAAAAGAAAATTCAAAAATCAAATTTGTTCAAAGTTTTTAAAAATTGTAAAACTTTTAAAAATTTCATTCTGGTACGAGAGGTTTCATTGTGCCTCAAGGCACGATAGCTAGTTTTAAATTTAGATAATTATGTCACAGACACAAACATGATATCATAATTAAAAAATCCTAAAACCTTGTTTATAGACATAGCCTACCTTCGTCCATGAGTATAACAGAATTAGTGTCTGGATTGTTACTTGAGATCGGCATTTGTCCGTGCGTCATCATACCGAAATCCTCTTCAAGTGTTATGAAAGGTGGATTCCATCGCGGTACAGCACCTCGAGCCGCACTTCTCGCAGCGCTCACGGGCGTTCCGTAAAGCGACAAATTCGTAGGACTAATAACACCTGACATACCACTCATAGAACTGATTGCCGGATAGCTAAACAATTGTGCAGGTTGCCCGTGGAAATGATTAAAAGCGTAATCTCTTCCCGCCGTGGCTCCCGCCGGACCGGCGGAGTACGGACTTGGTATGCGGGAGGGACTCTTTCGTGGCGAAACAGGTGGCGAAGGCGTCATATCAGTATGCGATTGTAGCACGCTGTTGTGATCCTGCATAAATAAAATGAATAACGATTATTTTAAGGTGCTATAGTGATTAATTGTGGTAAATTTCAAGGCGCAGTTAATCCCCATATAGTGCAATACTTCTGTAACACTCTAATATGGTTCAAGAATTCATCTTATACACGGTGTAAGATGGGTATTTCTCAGTGGTGTCGTGCTAATATTTTTCAGCGGAACGCTGAAGTTAAAAGACCGGTACTCGTATTTGTTTCGGTTTGGTTAGAATTTCAGTTCAGCAGAAGAAAAAAACGTTACGGACTCTGGTTTACGATTCGGAAAAACAAGCCAGTTTGTTCCGATTTGAGTTCGGTTCAAGATCTTGTTTATACATATAAAAATTTGTCAAAAATTAGAAAAAAATCAGCATTTTTTATTTTTCTTTCAATACGTCAGCCAATTCAATAATTCTTTATCATCCAATTCAACAATTCTTCACAGAAATCATATTTAGTTCCGGTACGCGTTCTGGTTCAATAAGTAAGTACCGGAAGGAACGACGTTCCGGCGCATTCCGGCTCGACAAAACCACTGGTGCTTTTATAGCAAGATTTAACTCCAACACGGTTTGATAACAAAATATGAAACATAATAAAGCTATCAAAAGCAAACTTTGCCTAAAATTAATGAAATCACCGTACAACAGGTCAATAAACTAGTGCAAAAGATACCTCATTTTAACATTTTGCGTTCGAAAAACGAATCTAATTTTTAACAGCAAAAAGCCTAGGGTTACAAGAACTGTTAGTTTATATTTTTCTTAAACGAAGATGCTTAAACGAAGCACAAAATTTAAACGGGAACTTTACAAATGTTTATTTTTGCTTTAACTTACAGTCGGTCAAGTAAGAGCGTGACCGTGTTAATTTATAAAAATAATTATTTTATGATTTTTTAATATTTATATATGCATTGTATACGTTACAAGCAATGATGCAATTTGGTCAATATGTGTCCAGTCACCACCGGGGTCGACAATTGGCTGGCATCTCCGACGTCTGCTTTTTACTAATTTAACGGATTATTCTAGTCTGACGGCTCGTATTTTAATTTAATGGCTCGATGAGGGCAGTACGTGCTCATATAGAACTTTTATCAGTAAAAATGGCATTTTCAAAATCTCTATCAATATTTTCATGTGCCCAAGCGGAAAAGAAGCACATGTTTTTCAGTCGTCAGAGGCTTCCCCGTTGTGTTGCGCCATTTCAGATCATGAATACGAAGAAAGGTTCAGATAGTTTTGAAGATATTTTTATAGATATTTCTAAACATTTTTCTATTAATTTTGCTCGTTCTTGCTGCAGTGTTAGAGCAGGATTCCGCAAAAACACATTCACTGTTCTTTTTTCTTCTTTTTTATTTGAACCACGTTCTGATAAATCATCGACATTTTTAGCAACTTTATATAGATGAATCAAATTTTGTACAAATGCCTTCAACTTTCTCATATGTTTAGCAGCAGCTGATTGCGACAATTGGGGACCATTTGGGTGGATGCAAAAGGGCGCAGCCTCGTAGCGCGACGCGTAACTTAGCACTCATGGCGTTTATTTTTTCTCAACAGATCAACGACAACTAAACCTTTGTTGACAATGCATCAAAGACAAAGCTTCACTTTATCGGCTCACGAAAGAATTAGACCGAAATCTTTCATTAACTGTCGTTAAAGTCGGCCACGCTCTTACTTGACCGACTGTATATAGTTAGAGTCATGTCATACTAAAAGCAAGCAATCGAAATCAAATTTTTTGTATAAGGTAAAGCAAGTAAATATCTAAAAATAATACAGAAAAATGTTTACTGTTAAGGATATCACTTAATAAGAATCGCTACGATCATGAAAATATTATTACATTCATTTAATATGTATTACTAATTAAAACAAATAAATATATTCATCTTTATTATAATAATATAATTGCTGTTTTCTTAATTTCTTGGAACCTAGCCTCTATTTTTGTATTAAGCCGGGCACAGACGTAACTGTATGCATGTGCAACTGAATGAATGTGCAACCAGGCGTATTTTCACAGTGCCCACAGACGGCTCAAGTTTATGTTCAAGTATTTGCGCAAGCATATCACAAATGTCAACTAAGAAACATCAAGACATAACCTAAAAATATATCTTTTTTATTAATTTATATATTTACAGCATCATAAGAAAATTCAAAGTGTTCAGAAGGCTAATTTAATAACTTTTAATTGTCGATAACTTCATAAACTTGTATTATGAATTCGCTACAAAGTAAAATAAAAACGGAACATGTGGTGCCACACGCGGCCGACGAATGAACTTGCCGAATTGAATGATTGCGCAATTAAAATAATCGAAAAGTGCTCATGCCTGCTCGCTTGCAGCAGTCTGTCAAGTTGCGCAAAAAACACCCCACAGGCGCTACAGAATACATGTGCAAGTTGCAGGTTGCGCAAGTATACAGTTACGTCTGTCGCCGGCTTTAGTCCTTTGATTCGCATAACACGATAGTTTTTTGCAACGTATTTGATTAAAATGCAAATTTTTGAATGTTACATATCAAATCGATATTCGAAATCATTACCTGCTGATCGTGGGGTGAAGATCCATCGTCAGGCGGCGTTACCGATGCGGGCGGCGAACTAGCGAGATCCGCTGTCGACCGGATAATGGCAACAGGTCGTGCCATTGGCGGCAGTGGCGGCGGCGGTAACATAGCACTGTATTGGCCGTACTGTGTCGCTTTGGGACTGCGCGAGAGACCACTCTGCACTTGCATGCCGAACTGGTGAAAAATATATAATATAATATATTGACTCCAAACTGGGACATTTAAATATATTTGATTTATTTCAATTATTTAGATTAATCTATTTTAGGGATTACTTAATCTGAGAGAAAATTTATAATAAAGCACAAAATAATTTATGACCGATTTGCGTATGTAATAATATTTTATTAGAATAAATTGTATTTATTTTCAAAGGTAAACTAATTGGATTACAAGACTATTGTAAAGGTCAAAACCTTTATAAAATGTTTTTTACAGTTCATATGAAGTGTTTTTAACGCGTTAATCACCGCGATATCAGAAAAAAAATCATATGGGCCATGGTAACTTCATCGGATAATTTAGTTAAAAAAGAATCAACAAAAAATAACAATTAGTGTAACTAGAGCACAACTAGTGTAACCGCCTAAAAAAAGGTGATTTTTGGGAATTTATATTAAAAAAACTATTTTATCAATCATTTCAAAATTTTAGGAATATATTTATACATGTTTTAACAATACATAGTAAAATTTTTGAAAAAAAAAATTAAATATTTTTTTAACTTATCGACGATCTCCAACGGCGCGACAAAAAAAAGGCCCTTCACTGCTGCAGTGATTCCGGCCTTCTTACGTGGATGAAATTTAAAAAAAAAATCTCGTTAAACTAGATAATATTGTCTGTAAAATGAACTACGATAAAAAAATCAAAAATTGACAAAACGACGGCGTTTTTTTTTAAAAAAAAGTCGAATTTTACCCAAAATTTTGGTCGTTTTTGGACTGCCAAAATTCGATTTTTGATCCGATCAAAAATCGATAGTTCATTTTACGCAGAACTATATATAGAACATGTAAAAAAAATTGATAGTGATCGGATCATTTGTTTTTGAGTAATCGCTGCAGCAAATTCGGAAAATGCTGTTTCGAAAAACGCGTTTAAAGCTTAAATGATCGTAATACAATATACTATGTATATACTCTTTAAATGGCTGTAACTCAAAAACTATTTAAGATATCGATTTAAAATTTTGGTATGATATTTTTAAAGGTATAACCTATCGAAAATTGAAAATTCGATTTTTTGAAAATTTCACACTAGTTGTACCCCTTAAGGGGGTATTCTAGTAGAGAGCGATGAATTTTAGGTCATTTTTAAAGTGTCGTAAAAGAAAGCAATGAATGTTTTTACTATCCATTTATTTACCACTTATTTATTAATATTATTAAAATACAAAACAAAAATTAAAAAACAAAAAAGTTGAAAATTGTAAAAACTGGCAGCTGATAAAGTGGGTGGTCTCAAAAAATTTGCAAATCAGTCTTGACATGATTTCAGCCCTCCTAGTCATCGGAAATGCAAAAAATAAAAAAGATTATTAATCTACAATGATGTCCTCCGAACTAGCGATGAGTAAAAAAAATTTTTTTACAAATTGGCGACTGTTTGAAAAAAACGTATTTTTTTTACTGTTTTTTTGAGTTTCTCGATTTTTTTTTAAATTAGTAAAAATTGGAATTTGGGGATAATCCTAGTTCGGAGGATTATCCTAGACTCTCTGAATATTTCAAGTGAATCGGTCAATTAAAACTCGAGAAATCGTGTCAACAGTACTGAAAAAGTCTGTTCTGAGGAAAACGCATTTAAAGTTTTGCGTGAAGCCAAACCAGTATGAAGACCGAGTCAGTAAAATGCCTATATCTCCGAAAATAATTCAAATTTTCAAAAACCTTCTCGTACCTATATTCTTAGATAGTTAAACTTTTATAATATGATATAAAAAAAATTTCGATTTTTTTGAATTTCTACACTAGAATACCCCCTTAATGCGTCAAAAAATTTTTTGCCAAAATTGCTGGAAAACGTTATTTTTTACATATATGACTCTTTTTCTAGCAAATCGCGTATGTCAAACATATAAACTCCTAAGCGTCAGACGCACATGACTGACATGGTGATTAACGTGTTAAATATATGTTATGAACAATAATTAAGTAAAATTAATTTAACAAACTAAGCCGTAGCACATCATATAAATGTATAGTTATTCTGTAAGTACTGACCTGAGCCCCTTGCGTTCCGTTTTCGGCCTCCTGGCAGACGAACGTGACGAAGTCCGACAGCGTATCATGCCCGTTGACCTGCGAATCTGCATACTTGACAGTGGACCCGTGGCCTGCATGCAGCGAATCGCTGCCATTGCCGCCTTGGGATACAACGCCGTTGCCTGCACCAGATGCACCATTACCGCCGCCGCCAGGGCTGTGCTGATAGAATATCGCCGCCGTCGAACCAACTTGCGACGGGGATGACACCAGACCGCTGGTTATATGCGACAAACCAGATACTGGAAAATGAAATTCTGACGAATTCAATTCAGAGTTAATATCGGTTTCTTGGTTTTTGTACGTACACGGACGTTGAAGGTATTGTGTGTTTACTAAGAATTGACGAGAAAAATTACATAATATTTATGTTCTGATGATTTTCCGAGTTTCTATGTTTCAGGAATCATATTTTATTTATTTATTTATCTGTTTAATAGTATATTTGAATATATTATTAGTATACTTGTATTGAAATTTTCTATATATATACTATAATCATAGTACAGCAACCTATACTTAAAACTATACTTTTAATTTGTCTATATATTCAAAATAGTAGTTACTAGGAACAGTACAAATAAAGAATCTAGATCAGTGATTCCCAACCTTTTTTGGGCCCCGCCCCACCTTGAGGTTTATAAAAACGTTATGCCCCCCCATACAATTTTTTTTCTCCCAGGAAAAATGTGAATGATAACTTTTAAGATGAAATCGCTATTAAATTGTTATTAAACATCATAAGTAAAATTTCGGAATAAGCCAACTTACGGAAATTCCAAACTAATTTTATTACTGTTTTTTTCGAAATTCATTTAATGGAATACTTGAGCTAAAACAAAGATTTTATATTAGGTTCTAATCTAAGCTTTTTTTTCAATAAATTATAGCAGATTTTTGTACATATGATTACATTTGGGCATTTGGTTTCAGTTTCTTCATAAAGCCATTTCTTAACGAATCTACGTGACATTTTCTTAACTCAGAACGAAATTATATCTTAATTTTATATATTTTTTGTTAAATCTTTTTTAGTTATCAGATTGGAAACTAAGTAAATGCGCATATTTTTCCTAGAAATTGATAGTTATCGTTGGCAACTAAGTAAGTGCGCATTTCAGTTAGAAAATCAAAGACAATTTTTGCGTGGAATTAAATAACTACGTATACCATTTTGATCGATGGCCTTTTGTTATTTTCCAAGAAGCATCATTATCCCAAGTTTATAAAACTTCTAGTTTTTTCTCGAAAATTTTATTAGCAAAAACTAAATTAGACACAATTTGACACCATCATGATTTTTTTTAAATTCAAGGGTTTTAAAACAGAACATTTGGTGGGTGTGGAGAAAATTTTTCACCAACCCCCAATAATTTTTAAACATAGCCAAATTGTTTCTATTAGCCCAATCGATTATTGCTTTAATTACCAGAGCACTTTAGAGCAGCATTGAGTGGAAAATTACCAGAATGACATTTTCAAAACCAATTTTAACATAGCTGTTTTTTAAGGCTTCGACAACATAAACAGCACCTATTCTTTGGGATGATCGTTTTACCATTTGCAGAAATAAAAATTCATTTCTCACTATACATTACTACCTCAACCTCAACAAACCTAAAGAATCATTTGAAGCAATCTAACAATAAGAGTAAAAGCCGCGCTTAGTGTCAACCTTGTACTATTTAAGCATAAAATAAACATTAGTTTATTTTAAATTAATTTCATCTTTAGCCATAGTTACTGACAGCGAGTAAAAAACTCACATCATATTTACTTTTCTTGTGCATATTTCAAGTCGAGTCTTGTCACTGACCTTAAAGCATTTATGCCAAGCAGTCAGAAACTTGATTTACCTATTTTTTTTGGTAATTTTCGTAAATTGGAAGTTAAAAATAATTAGTGAAGGGCTACTGGAACCCAAAGAATTGTTGCATCCCGCAATATTCTCTTTCATAATGTTGTTGTTAGATTTATATAAAGTTTATTGCATGTATCATTTTCAGATTATAATGGGTAGTTGCAATTTTATTATAAAGTAATGAGAAAAAGTCAAGTCAACCCGGCAAAAACATAACTCCGGCACAAGGAAAGCAAGTTTGAAAACTAAAACCGTCGCGGCCAAACCGGGACACCTTATTATTCTAAATCTAAGAATCATTTTTTTTGTTAATTTTTGTTAAGTTTTGTTTTACCGATGCTATACTACATTACATTAAAATCAATAAAATTTTCAAATTGCCCCCATGAAATTACAAATTGCCCCCCGGTGGGGCGTGCGCCCCACGCTGGGAAACACTGATCTAGATCGTATTGTGTGAAAATGAATTACTTAAACTCTAAAACGCATTTACGCAACTACTGAAGACTAAAAAAAGTCCAGTATTTTATAATATTTGTCGACCTTTGACAGATAATTTTATTAAATTTGTGAGGTAAAATATCAAACTCACCATCATCATTTGTTCTGCCCTGAACAAGGAGACGCGCGTGTCCAGGGTACGACCGCTGCATCGCGAGCGAGTCATGAGATGAGTCACCAGGACGGCTTAACACCGTTGGAAAAACTCCGGACATAGGCGGGGGCGATGGACACGCGTCAACCTTACTGCCGCCACTTGACCTCAGTAAGGGCGATGTTGACATGTGCATCGTGCGCGGGTCCGCTGAAAAAATATAATTTGGTTTAATATACCAACTTATACCTTATATTAGGTTAACTTCGCTTACAATATGAACTTATAGACGATATTCGTGGATATAAATTCGTGCTATTAAAATTGGATGGAATATATACTAATACGATAAATTGCTCATATCGTTTAGTGATTCAAAAATTATTTTATTTAGTATCACAGAGAGTTAGTCTTTATATTAGGCATTAAACAATTCTAAAACAGCATTTATTGGTTATGAATATTATAATATTAAGCATTATCGAATTCACTTTTTTAACTTCCCGTAGCGCAAGTTATAGTAATCGCAAAAAAATCGAAAATGAAAATGTTTATAGATCTTTACGTTTCAAAACCTTCTGAACATTTTGGCATACCTTAGAAAAAATGGATGTATGTGTGTGTGTGCGTGTAGGTATGTATGTTCGGATACAAATTTTCGTCGACGATTTCGGATCAACCGATTAGAATAATTCAAAAAACATTCGATTCGTATTGATAAGGAGACGTGCTGATTAGTTTTTGGCGAAGGCAGGTCTAGCCGTTCCGAAGATACGAGGCAAAAACTGCCGAAAACGGTAATTCAGTTTTTAAGAGAACGGAGCGTCCGATTTGACGAATTCAAAAAACATTTTATTTGTATTGACTAACTGATGAACTGTTCTAATTTTTGGAAAAGCAGGTCCAACGACTTTGGAGATGTGGAGGAAAAAGTAAAAAAATGAGCCATTTGGCGGTCAAAAATGAACATTAGAGATATGCACATCAAATTATCAGATATTTTATAGAGATTTTAACAATAAGTATAAATTTTGTTTACATTCCTATGGGTTACGTACCAATGTTTACGCGTTAGACGGCGACGCGGCGCTTACGCGCTTTGATATTTCGTCTTTATGCAGTTAAAGCAGTACGATTGCTTTGAAAAAAAGTTCAGAATTTCCAAAACATTTTAAATTAAATGGTTTAAGATAGAATGATTTAATATGGTTCCAAATTCTATTAAAAGTTTCAAATCATTGATCAACTTTTATTGATTATTAATAATGATTATTTTTAATTACTCGAATTTCGAATTGCGGTACGGGAAGTTCCAGCAATTTGTCTTAAGGCACGATGCCCTAATTGCCTTAAACAGAATTCCACTTACAGCTACTCACTTTTTATTATTAAAAGCTTTGTGAAGATATAGGTTGAACTCGTTTTAAGTAACAGAACAATGAGCAAAGTTACTGACATTTATCTTTTAGTTATAATTATAAATACAACTTTACATGTCCGGTTAGATTATTTCGGTCACGGACTCAAAATTTTGTATAAAACCTTAACATAAGAATGTCAGATTTAAATAAATCTTGATGACAACGGTATTGAAAAATGAATAATTCCACAGATCCAAAGTCACTAAATCAACGTATTCTAAAGTTATTTTTTTGAATTCACTAAAATTTTCAGTATAATTACTAAAGTTCTCACTGTAGCCTCCGGACACAACTATCGCGGCAGATTGAGGCAAACGGTCTTGAGGTGAAGGCGCGCCTGGTGTCGAAGGAGCAGGTACTGAGACAGACACGGGACTTGAGTAACTGTTGCAATAATAAGCGCCGCTGCTAACTACACCTGAGCCGCCTCCTCCTGCTCCACCGCCGCCATGCTCCAACTTTATACTCTGCATCTCACCGGATGTGTCTTGCAGTATTGACGCTACAATAGTAATAATTAGATTAGATAGAGAAAAATATCCAAAGTTGTTATAAAATATCTGATTGTTTTTTAATTACTTTATTAGTTTTCAAAGCGAATTTGATTTGTATCAAATTACTTTCATCGTTTGCAATTGATCTGTATGTATATCGAGAAGCCAAGTATGATTAAAAAGTACAAATTTTATACTTAACCCTCCGTCGGTCGGATATTTTTTCACCTTCGAACGGTCGGAAAGGTCTGGATGGACCACTATTTATTTTACATGCATTTATATGGAATAAATGAGTTTTTGGTGTCTTATAGTATATTAACGATTATTAATAGTAAATATTTATAGTTTTGATTTTTTCTTTTTCTTACCGTCTTTTGCATTTGTTGAGCTTGCTTATGATAAAAATATTACATATTATATTATATAAAAAAAATCAAGAAATATGAAAAAATCCTTGTTTTTTTTGTTAATTTTTCTGTTTTATATCAATGAAAAACAATTTTATTTTTTTTCGGCGCCTTTGAAATAAATGTGAAATTCAAATGAAAACGAAATGAGATGCGTCGACTTTGAAATGAGCTGTAAAACTCAAAGTGAAAATATAATTTCACTACAGGTTTGCCAAAAAAAAATTTCGAATGCAATACGGGTAGAAAAATTGTTGATAATGTGTGCATTACTCATCCGATTTTAAGTGTTTGCGATTACCAATAAGTTTGGTAGGTTTTCAAGGAACTCTCGTCATGAAAATACTAACATTCATGATATAACACATAGCAAAGAATATATACAACGCAGTTTGAATAGAAAATACCATGAAAAAAGACAAAATACTGGTTTACATATATGAAAAAGCGTATATTTCATACAAAATGTATGGGTGGTCTTGACAGACCTTTCCGACCGTTCAAAGTATAAAAAAGTTAATATCCTTATAATTATATCCTTCTGTACATTTTTTCGTCCTGATTTTTTCATTGATCGACAGCTAATGAAATTTTAGAAAAAGTCAAGAAATTTCGAATCGATAGGATTACTAGAAGTATTTTTATTTTTAATTGAAGTCGAAAAAAGTCTGGCCAGACCACGCCGACCGACGGAGGGTTAAAATCAATGTTTCATTAAGAAACACGTTAGGTAATAGCTTAAGTGAATATTCATATTTAGCCTTCGGAAAATTGTGAACAAAAAATAGAAATCAATCACACATTCCAAAATAGACGTAAAATAATTTGTAGGTATCTTATACTGATATTTATCTAGTTAATAAATTTAATGGTTTCTACAAATTTAACATTTCGATAAATTAAATTACAATTTTCCCGGTTTAGTATTGAATAAGAAATATTTTTGCCATAGAAACAAGATATTTATCTCTCAATCTGTGTTCAACTATATGTAATAGATGCAAACCATTTGGTTTTAAGTAGAGCAAATACATCTCATATTTAGTTATAATAAATAACTAATAAAATAATATATATATATATATATATATATATATTAAAATAGTTTTCATTTGAATTTTTTGCTCTTTTATCAAATTCCAAGCATATATATCATATTCCTATATTGCAAAGACAAAGCGGGGTGGACTGGTCTACGCAGAATTTAGTCATAGCGCCGATATTAATGCACCACAGCACAAAAGCAAAATTGTTCTCCGCGTTGCATCGTATATCGTTTTAATGTAGGTCACAATGACCCAATAAAATAGGTCAAAAGGTGTTCGCTAAAGGCAATGACCAGTCCACCCCTCACCGTGGGCCGTAAATTAGTTATATCTATTATGTGGTGTATGAAATTTGTGCTGATACGATACCTTTGGATAGCTTCCAGAGTTCCCTTGACGAGAAAACGCCAGTCGCTAATATTATGTCGTTGCATATCACACCGTTATACGGATTGTGCGCGTAAGCTGCAAATTATCAATTCTGTGAGATCATGATATTGACGATTATCATGAAATTTCATATATATAGTTTATATAAGTTACTTTTTATTGGAAAATGTGAAACGGCAGTATGTTTAGCGAATATACTAGAAAATTAGTTTTAAATTATTTTCACTATTTTAATGAACAATTAACTCACCCTTATGTTTACGCTCTTCTTCCTTTTTGCTATTGTAACAAGAACCACTTAACGTATCTGCAAATATATGCAAAAAATCTTTGATGCCACGCATTTCTATTAAATATAAATAATATGTATGTAACGAGAACCATTATATTTCTGACAACAGTATATGCGGTTCAAATCATTTTTACAATATTCACTGATTGCATAGTTTTGTTAAAATTTATTTCTTCGCATAAAAATAATAATTATTTTATTTAGATCATGCAATATTTGCATAACACAATTCGAATTTATTTATTATCAATTTTTGAGCCGAGCGGGTGTTTCGCAATATTCACATGAAATGCTCAAAATCAATAAACATTGACATTTTTTAACCCTTTTGATTTGCGACGCTTATAAATATTGTAACATACAGTATATGCATTCTTACCATGACTATTGATGAAATTAGCTAAATATAAGTCTAGTTCTCGTACGGATACGTTGATGTGATAAGGATTGACGCATAGTCCCGGCTGCGAGCAATCCGAGTTCTTCTCCAATCGTTCGCCATCCGTGCTCTCCAGCGGTATCGCCTTGAATAGTATCACCATGACCAAATCTAACCGCCAAACCTACGAAATTACATAATTTTAACGTTTAGTCTTAAATAAAACTAGCCGTAAGTGGAATTCTGTCTTAAGGCAATTAAGGCATCGTGCCTTAAGGCAAATTGCCGGAACTTCCCGTACCAAAAATTATTAATTTTTTAAAAACGATTAACATTTTTGAAAAAAATGTACTTTGAAAAAATAAGATTTTTGAGAAACTATATATATGGACAAAAATTTTTTTTTTTTTATTTTGACATATTGTGGAAGATCTGAACTTTTTTTTTAAAGCAATCGTACTGATTTAACTGCATAGGGACAAAATATAAAGCGCGTAAGCGCCGCGTCGCTGTCTAACGCATAAGCATTGGTACGGAACCCATAGGAATGTTAACAAAATGTATACTTATTGTCAAAATCTCTATAAAATATCTGACAATTTGATGTGCATATGTCTAATGATCATTTTTGACCGCCAAATGGCTAATTTTTTTAATTTTTCCTCCAAATCTCCGAAACCGCTAGACCTACCTTTATGAATTTTATTGATTCTTCATCTTGTCAATACAAGTGAAATGTTTTTTGAATTATTTAAATCGGACGCTTCGTTCTCTTAAAAACTGAGTTACCGTTTTCGGCACTTTTTGCCCTGTATCTTCGGAACGGCTAGACCTGCCTTCGCCAAAAACTAATCAGCACGTCTCCTTATCAATACGAATCGAATGTTTTTTGAATTATTCAAATCGGTTGATCCGTGTTCCCGAAATCGTCGACCAAAATTTGTATCCGCACATACATACACACACGTACGTACGTACATACATACATACACACACACACACACACACACATACATCCAAAAAAATGTAAAATGTTTATGAATTATAACATTGTTTATAACAAGTTAAGAATTGTAACATTCTAGATCCTCCCCCACGAAGTAATGCCTAGCGGCGGTTTCCGTGGGGACCAGAGGCAGGGGCAAAGCGGAGGTTTTAGTCGGTATTATACCAGGGCGGTATCGAGTCCGACATACCCAGACAGAAGACCGGTCTGGGATGCATAAAAGCATTTCCTTCGCTATACAAAAAAAAAAAAAAAAAAAAAAAAACATACATCCATTTTTTCTAAGGTATGCCAAAATGTTCAGAAACCTTTGAAACGTAAAGATATATAAAAATTTTCATTTTCGATTTTTTTGCGATTACTATAACTTTCCCTACGGGAAGTTAACTAGTGGTGCATGGTATCGTGGTTTAAGGCAAATTGCTGAAACTTCGCACTGAAAATGATTTCTTTTTAAAAAAATTTAAATTTTTTTGAGAACTTTGAAAAAAATTGAATTTTGAGAATTTTGAAATTTTACTTTTGAGTAAATTTGACTTTTTTGTATAAACATTGGTACAGAACCCATAAAAATATAAACAAGTTTAAACTTATTATTAAAATTTCTATAAAATAATTTGATGTGTATTAGTCTGATGATCATTTTTGACCGCCAAATGGCAATATTTTTAATTTTTTTCATTGGATCTTTGAAACATCTCGATCTGTCTTCATAAAAATTTAATCAGTTCTTCGTTTCGTCAATACAAATGGAATTCGAATCATTCAAATCGGACGCTCCGTTCTCTCAAAAACTGATTTACCATTTTTGGCACTTCTTGCCTTGTATCTTGGAACCGGGTGGACCTGCCTTTGCCAAAAACTGATCGCACGTCTCCCCATTAAGAGGAATCGAATGCTTTTTGAGTTATTCAAATCAGTTGATCCGTGTTCCCAAAATCATCGACAAAACTTTGTATCCGAAAACATTCACACACACATACATACATTTTTCAACGGTATGCCAGAATGTTCAGGAACTCTTGAAACGTAAAAATGTATAAAAATTTTCATTTTTGATTTTTTGCGATTACTATAACTTATCTTACATTAGTAATGTTAATAATATGGTTCTGTTTTTCTTATGAATAATGTAACGACTATACAAAACAACTAACTAATAAAAATAATTAATTTCAATATTCAGTTGTCTTATCCTGGATGTGACTTATAACTATAGATACTTAATAGTAGTTTTAAATTCATATTTTTGTATGCAGATTTACCCACAAAGGCATTTTTTTCACTTTAGAGTTAGACTATATTTGAGATCCATTGCCTCATGTTTTATGATATCATGCCGCCTGATGTCGAGCTAACCCAAGTTGGGATCAAAGTCAGGACTAGTTTACGCTAACCCAAGTTCTTAACAAATACACCAAGACGGGCTCTTTACAGTAAATAAACTAATAAGACAAACATTATTTACAAATGTATAGTACAAACTGTGTATCAAGTTATAATATAGTAATATATTTTGAACTCGCTTCAGTTCAAATTGCATTCTCTCTCAGTCTATAACTTTTGTTGAGAATAATTTGAAAATGTATTCAGAAACCATATTATAATGCTTTACATAAAAATATATCTGAAATATGCAAATGTCCGCACAAATATTTGTTTCAATTATGGATTCTGTATATAATAGGTCTTTTTTGCTAAATTTCTGATCAGTTCGAAAAGCATAAAAATAAATCGATGCAAAAATATTCGAACAACTTTTTATAATAGATTCAAAATATAGTTTTTGTATAAAGTCGGAAGATATGCGTTTGTCTCAATTTCGGAGAGTAACACGAGTCGTTTCTTACTATTTATATACAGCAGATTGGATGGTCATACAGTGGGACGGAATTGATCAGTTGTAAATTCTATTAGTAAAACAGCTCCGGAATGTTATAAAAAATAATGCGATATTTGTCTATATAATATAATGTTAAAACAAGTCTAATATGAAAGTATAAAATTTTATGACAGAAAGAAAATTTTGCTAAACATATTAATAATAATAATACAGTAAGCTGTATTATGCAGAAATTGCCAATATATGTCTCATTTGGAACATAAAAAACAGTAATTTTTTTAAAAAAATTATTAGTTCAGTACAGTACACAAAAAGTTGTCTGTATTGGGTATGCGGCATATATTTTTCATTGTAGTTTTTACCGCTGAACACGAATCTAAAGTCAAAATTGGAGGTCAAATGGCAAAAAATTAGAAAGAAAATAAAAAAAACGACAAAATTCCCAATAGTGTATTTCATCCGCATAATATTAAAAATGTTGTTGTTGTTTCCTGACCTTTTTCACCAAATGACTATTGAGCTTCAATTAAATAATCTATTGAGTTTTTTTGTATAATTCAGCAGTAATTTGCAAACATATTTATTCCCCATTGCCATTGACCATGTTTGCAATTAGATATCTAAAAATGTGCAGGTAAATTACTGCTGTATTTTACAAAAAAAAAAACTTACAGGTATTCAATGAACCAAAGATAAGTAAAAACGATTGAAATTGGTTATAATATCATCGTATGAATAAATATCATTAAAAACAAAACACAATGTCATTTCGTCCGCGCTTTCCCTAATGATTTTATAGTTTGCACGATCTTTAATTACATATTATAACTAAGGTGACAATATTAAACTTAATATTTTTAAATTATTAAATACTATTTAAGAATGCAATAATTTTTTTTTTCAATAAATCTCTTTTTTTATCAGAATTACTGACTTTTATTATTTAATTATATGTTACATCTTATATTACATTTTTCGCTTTTAAGCTTTTTCTAAAATTCTGTTTATCTTTCTTTATAATTATTTTGAAAAAAAAAATAGCTCTTATGCCAGGCAGCAGTCAAAATCTTTCATAATATTTGTTAATTTTTGTCAGAATTATTAATGTGAGAGGCTGTTTTAACCCACCTTCGGAATTTGTATTCCGCAATTTATTCATTCATAACGTATTGTTTCATATGAGCATACTCTTTGTACAAAACGCTTCCAGATATTTAATGAGTTAGTAATTTTATGATCAAATAAGAGCAAAGATTCAATTTAAGCCTATACTTTTTAAAAACCCGGGGCAATCCGGGACAAATAATGCTCTCAAAAAACCCGGGACACAAGGTGAAAATTCGGAACTGTCCCGGTCACCGGTATTATAACGCGTGAACTATTGATATAATTATTACACGAAGGCTATGAAAAGTACTTTCTACTAACTGAAACACTTGCAATTACTCGGTTAAATGATATACTATGATCGGTTAGAAACTTTACTCTATTTTTTTTCTAATGTATAATTTTGTAATTACGTAAGCAGATTTATTACAATTATTTACCCCCCCCATCCCCCTCGTCAGCAAAAGTAAGCAAAGCTCTTACCCCCTACCCCCATGCTTACGTAAACATTTTGCAATTAATGTAAAAAAATAAAAATACTACCTATGACGTAATCATCATCCAGACTCCCCTGTCCCCCATGTCAACCCAAAATAAGCAAATCAACAACCCCCCCGCCCCCCTATAGTGCTTACGTAATACATGAACAGCCTCTAACAAACAAAAGATTTTTTAATAAATATATAAAAAATTATATATTTAATTAAAAAATTATGGAGCAACTGATGTCTCAAGAAGCCTAACAGTATATCATTTTCAAGTGTCTTTTCTCTATTTATTTTAGATAAAATTCTTACAGCAATAATTGAAATCTGAAAAATGAGATCCTTTAGGCGGCACTGCCTAAAAAATTAGTTTTGTATTAGCAGTAGCAAGAATGTCCGTGGTATTGTTCCTACGCAGCTCAGAATATAATACAGCAGCGTCCGTTGAAATTACCAAATTGCGCTTCTTGTTTACAATCCCTCGGTTTTACCATAAACCAAACGATCCTCTCCGCGGGAAATTTCGTATATTTAGCATCGTCCGTAGCCATTTTCAAACCACTCACGGTTTATTCGCATAGTCCGATTGGCGGGAGCATTGTTTTTGCAAAGTGGAGTATATAACAAAGATCGTGCGACAACGTTAACGGAAACAGGGGGTCCTTGACTAACAATTTTATTTTAAACGTGAAAATCAGATTTAGTACGATATAGTTGTGTTAAGATTTATGCTTATGTTTAAA